CACTGAGGACCTGCAACACTCCTGACACCCTCCTTCACCCCAGTCAAAACCCACTGCAGGCTTGGGCCACCTTCTGCCCTTTACTTGGCTCTGTGTAATTCCAGCAACAATTGATCGCACCGATCTGTATGAAGAGACCCTCGACCTCTCTCATAAGAGCCATGCAAAGGAAAACCACAAGGAGAGGTGTTTGTCTCCTATCAGATTGGCACAGATGGAAACTGCGGCTAAAGGCCATCAGTGGGAGGGGAAGGTGCCACCTTATGTTATTTGAAAGACTGTAAATGGGTATGACCTCTTCGGAGGGCAATCTGGCAATAGCTATGTAAATTTAAAATGCACATGCCCTTTAACCCAGCAATTCATCTCCAAGCATTTATCCTACAGAGATGCAAGTGTTCAAAGATAAAAGAACAAGGATGATCAGAGCCTGAAAACATCCTTGAGTCCATCCGATGGGACTGAATAAGCAATTGCACCTCGTCCGCAGGATGGCACTTCCTCACCTGCGTGCAGAGCAGCGTGCTGTCTCCTTGAGTTGTTACCAGGAGTAGGTCAGTTAATATGAATAAAGTGCTCCGAGGAGCATCCCCCATATAGAAAGTGCAAGTCCGCACTAGCATTATCGGCTTGCTGCTGCTGCTGAAAAGAACTGGGTGATCTATACATACTGATGTGTAATTATCTCACAGAAATGCTGGCCAGTGCAAAACGCTGTGCATTTGATTCTGGCTTGCTGTGTTTCTTGAGATCTGCTTTCTAATGTATAGGCCATCTCCAGGAAGACACAGACCAGACACAGGGGTTGCCCTCAGAGAGCAAGAGAAGACTTTGCACTTATCTTCCCGTGCAGTGTGCAGTTTTTAACCACTGACCTGTATACCTGCTGTGTGAACAAATGAATCACTTTCATAGACCGTGGTATGTGTCAGTCTTGCACCAGACTGTGAACTCCTTTGGGACAGGGACAATGTTTGAGTCACAACTGAATTTGTGGTGTCCAGCATGACCTGGAAAGCAGAGGTTTTTGCAGATGATGTGATGCCTGAGCCAGCTGGAATTCCATGTAGAATCCTGCAGGGACCTCTGTTTCTCCAGGGGACATGCCTGGGAACAGCTGGCCTCAGGGAAAAAGTTCTTTGGAGCAGGAAGCAGACCTAGAGAGCAGATTCCCACAGAGCGCATCCCCGAAAGCAGGACAAGGTGTACAGGTATATTGTGGGTCCTGAGCAACCAAGGCAGCCTGTCGAAGCCTGGGTGGACACCTGGGCCACCACAGGGCTCTCTATGCAGGACACTGATGTCCTCATCTCTCCACATAACTGCAAAGAGAACCAGGGAGGCATTGCATGGTACATGGTACATGTACAGCCATGGGATTGAGTCGAGTTCCAGGTTCCTTGGTCTGGAAATGCTGCACGCTGACCCCCTGTCAGACTGACAAGCACAAATGAGGACCTCGGTCCAAGCAAAGGAGTATTGGGGCCACTTTTGCCATCAGTCATGACTTGGAGCCACCCCTCCCCTCCATCCCTCATGTTTCTCATCCTGCCCAGCAAAGCAGTGGTGGCTCCAGCTGGAACTCCAGGAGAGATGGCTCAGCCACGGCACTCCCTGGAGTTTCAGAGCACAAGGAGTCCCGAGGTGGGCGGAGCCCATTCTCCTGCTGGGCAGAACAGCAAAGTGTAGCCAACTTGACCTTGAACTATGCTGCAGTCCTAAGACCTCAACCAGCCTGATCGGCACAGTGAGGTCCACCAAATACACTGAGAATGAGTCACAGAAATAGGACAATATTTCCTGACATTTAAAACACACAGGAGGGCCTGGAGATTTAGCTCAGTGGCATAAGCGCCTGCCTTGCAAGCAGGCAGTCGTGAGTTCGATCCCCAGTACCGATAAAAAGGAAAAAGACAAAAAAAAAAAAACAAAAAAAAAAAACAAAAAAACACACACACACACAGGAAATTATACTAAACATTTTCATGGGTAAATGAGTATAAAAACTTCAAATGTAAAAGTTTTGGAAGGAGCTACAGTTGGCCACCCATATCCATATCCTCAAGACTCTGCATCCAAGGACTTAACCAGCCCTGGATAGAAAAAGAGCGGGAAAAAAGTGTCACATTGTTCTTGGCAGTCTGTACTTGAACGTGTACACACTTCTTGTCAACACCTCGTCACTTTTTTTTTCCTTTTTTTTTTTTTTGGTATTAGGAATTGAACTCAGGACCCCACACTTGCCAAGCAGGTGCTATACCAATGAGCTATATTCCCGGCCCAACCTCTTATCATTATTATAAACAATATAGTACATTTTTGGTGGCGGACCTATGGCTCATGACTGCTGGGGCATTTCTTATCATGGAAAGCGCTAAAAGTTTTGCCATCACTGATTATAGTATAACAATTATCGACAGCATTTACATTGTGTATTGGTATCGTAAAAATATGGAATGGCCATTAAAAAAGGACAAAATCCTTTTATTTGCTGCAACATGGATGGAAGAAAAGATCATATAAGGATGTGCTTAGTTTATATGCAAGTAATGCGTCAGTTTATACAAGGCCCTTCAGCATTCATGGATTTTGTGTCCACCAGGGTCCTGCTACCCTGTCCCCGCAGCACTGGGGACAACTGTGCAGCCTTCACTGGGGAGGCTGGAAGGGATGAAAGGGCACAGAAAAGAGCTTTTACGTCCATCTGGTTTTTTAGGATAGAATGGGTTCCTATTTTACATAAGCAATTAAAATTTAAAGTATCTCAAAAGGCCATTGCTCCGTTTAGCTCTCTCAGTGAGGTCCATTCTGCCCACCCTGCCTCTTCGTGCTCTTATCTAGTGTCAACATTTCTGGGGCACACAGCGCCCAGCCATGGCTCCCCAGTATGACACTCACTGTACTGGTCCCCTCCTTCCTACACTAGTGACAAGCAAACTCCAGGCCAAGGTGAGCTGCACTCACAGCCTGTCTCAGTCAGCGCCAGATCTAGTTTCTATTTTTAATGGTAGAAAATCAAAAGAAGGGTGATAGCTTATGGCATCTGAAGATTATATGAAATTTAAATTTTAGCATATATACCTAAAACATGACCGTGGCACATGCCTCCTTGTTTACATCTTGTCTTGAGCTGCTCTGCCAAGAGGACAGAAACTGAATGGTTACATAGTTTGAAAACCTAGAACACTAACCAGCCCCTTGCAGGCAAAGCGTGCAGGCCCCTGATGGGGACAGCTGCCCGAGGTGCCTCACGGATCTTTGTTTTGTGCTCTTTCACATCTCAAGCGCCTACGTCAATGCCCAGCACATAGTGGGTGCTCAGTGAATCTGGCTGAATAAATGGAAGTGAGCGTGGTGGTGCTGCTCCAGCATCCTAAAGAAAGTGACGCCATCCACCGCACATGACACTTCCTGAAGTGCTGGCAGACACTGTGCCCACCAGTCCAGATGGCACTCACTTGTCTGCACACAAGGAAAGGTGTCCACCGGGTGTGCCATGGAGTTCACCAGGCCTTAGAGAAGACAGGGCAGAAGGTGGGCCCCTAGATCCCTGGAACACTGGCCTGGCTTTGCTTGGGCACAGAACAGTCCCACCGTGGCGGCTCATCTGTTGCCAATCCTGCCCTCTGTGCTGCCCAGGGTATGGGGTGTAGGCTACACTCTGGCACCCTCTGGTGGTCACCTGCCTCGGCCTCCTGGGTCATCTGTCAGTGTTTTAGACCACTCTCAACCTAGGCTTTCTCAGTCCTTTCTGATTCCCTCCTTTGGCTCTCTGGGGGGGTGGGGGGACGGGTATCCTAGAGTCACAGATGTTCTCCGGTCAAGCTGATGGCAGCCTCTCCTGTAGGGAGATTAGGCAGCTCCAGGGTTCCTGGGGGACTCCCAAGCTGGCAGATGCCCTCTCCTGACTACCAACCAGTGTCCATCCTGTCCCAGCAGAGGTGGGACCAGGGCCTACTTAGAGGAATGCAGTCACCTTGCAGCTTCCTTCATACCTGGGAAGGCTGCCTCTGCAGGCAGGGGCCCCATGGTACAGAGAACTGTGCTGTCCTGATGTGGAAAACAAAGACACTAACAAGCCCCAAACCTCCCCTAGCACGACCATCATGTGCTCAGCATGTGCCCACTGCACCCCAGTAACTATTCTCCCTCTGCTTCTGCCAAGGAATTAGGGACAGGGAGGGCTGGGGCCAGTCAGAGCTCTCTCAGCATCCCAGCCTCTGGCCAGGGCCTGAGTGGATGACAGTGGACTGAGGAGGGACAGTGAGGAGGGGTTAACAACAGATGGACAGGTGGGTGGGTGGAAGAACAGAGGCCCTGGGCTTTGGAGCACACTGAGCCCCAAACAGGGTCACCAGTCCTACCCATCATTCCCGCCCATCTCACCCATCCCCTTTCCAAACATCCAGGGCCACTGCTTCCCCCTTCACCTGCTCCCTCTGCCCCTCGCTTATTCCCACTTCTCCAGCCACCCTGGGCTCCCTCATATCAAGCCCGGTGACCTTGGAAACTGCAGAAGCTGGAGGAAAAACCTACAACAGTTTTCCCAGAGCTTCAGAGATGCTGACCCTTCCAGGGCCCGAACTCATGTTGTGCAGAGCACTTGCTGTCTCCCCCACATGAATGCAGAGCTCGCTCTTTCCTGCCCCCAGCACCCAAGCGGGTGCTCAGCACACCTGAGGAATGAGGGTCACTCTCCAGCCTTTACGGGTGGGTTCTCCAACTACCACCCTAACCAGAGCTATCAAGGCAGAATGAGTGTGGGGCAAAACTCTTAACACAGGGGTCAATGGTGGTCAACCTCCCTCCAGCAGTGTAACTCAGGAGGACCTCCTCCCACTCTGAGCCTGTTCCTCAAGAAAAGAAGTCCCACTTCATAAGGGTGTTATAAGGTTTGAGGGAGAAAATGAAAGCATTTGAAATCTAGAACTCAGGACTCCATAGTACAATCCCATCTCAAAAACAAAACCCCAACCAGCCAACCAGCAGGACACCTGTGCTGCGTTTGGAGCTGCGTTTATTGTAGTATGTCCAGACCACCCGCCACACGGCGCCTGCCATACCCCACTGCTCCTCGAGGCCGTGATCCACTGGATGGTACCAAGAGCTTTGGGTCCTGTCCCTACCGGCTGTGACTGTTAAAGAAAGCAGGCTTCAGCTCTCTAAGGCCAACTGCACTCAGCAAAACCCTCCTGGGACCTGAGGGAATTTGAGCTGAGACCTCTAGTCTACTACCTCCTGTCTTCCGTGGGCCCAGAGAGGAAGTCCCATGCCACAGGTCCCTTCAGAATATAACTGTGAAAGTGTAGAGCTGAGAAGCAAAGTTCCCAAGCCCGAGCTACTCTGCTTCTTTACCAGCTTTCAAACAGCAGAACCTGAAGAGCTAGAACGCCAGACCCCATTCTGCTGCGGTGAGGCTGGGAGGGAAAAGCGCCAAACCCAGGAAATGCTGTGCTGGTGCGCCCTCTGGTGACCATGAGGCAGCTCTGCAGGCCGCAGGAAGATGCAGAACTGGATTCCATCCGCACCTAAGAGCCAGTGATAGCGAACCACTTGTGCCACAACAGGATGTTTGCCATCACCAAAAGTTCTACAGGATTTGCCGTCACTGCTAAGAACCATCATCTGTGGCCCAAAACTGGTTCCTTTCAACCCTCTTGGTGCTACACCTTGGGACTCCAGCGATTCATTTGTAGTCTTCCTGACTCCCACCCACCACTCAGTCACCTTCCTGGGCATTCTGGCACCCACTTCAGTCCCCGGCAGGACTGGACCCCCTGTATAGCCAGCCCTTCTTCAGGATGAGGTCCAGTCTCCCCATTCTTCACATCCCTGTGCCTGGCTTCAGTCTCGGCCGCAGCAGTCTGTGGGGTTTGCAGGCGATAATCCAAAGAGGTGGAGGGAGGCCAACTCCCAGCCCACGGAGGTCAGGCGGGGCACTTAGGTGAGAACAGGCCACACAAGGCCTCAGTGACCATGGAAGCTTATGTCCCAGGTGATAACGCCACTGAAGAGCTGGTGTGGCCAGATGGTCATTCTTCAAGAGAAGCAGGGCATCTGGATTTTTATGTGAAGCATGCCCATTTGTAAAAGGTTGTCTCAAATGTACAAACTACCCAGGCCAAAGAAGCTTTGCTGGGAGGGTGGGTCTGGGCCCTTGCTGGAGAGCTCTGTCAAGGCCCTGCAGCTGACAGAACCTCCAAGGTGGTGGGCTTAAGCCAATGGTTGTCAAAGTTTGGTTTATTTGAGCAGTTTGTAGCCATCATCATGTTTGATCCTGAGAGGCAAGCAAGAGAGAGAAAATTCTTGGACCTATTTCAAAGTCTGGGACATAGGCCAAGGTGGGCTCCTGGGCAAGCTCAAGGTCAGAACTGGCAAAGAGAGCTCTGAAGCTGGGTAAGGCAGTGGTGGGGCAAGAGCAGGCTGCAAAGCCCGCCCCACACAGCCATGCATGGAGAAGTGTCTCAGCATGGGCCGGGAGGACACAGGCAGGCCTCTCTACAGCAGCCCCCAACCAGCCTCGCCTACACCCTCTTAGCTGCACGCTTCCCAGCCCCCTGGAGAGCCCCCAGTCCCAACAGTTGCTGGGGTGGTAGCTCCCCTGTGCATGTGTGTGAATACACCCCCTCCATGCACACAGAGCTCCAGGACAAGCAGCCTGGAGCTGCCGCAGTGGCTCTCCCTATGGACAGACAGCATCTCCATGCTCATGAACACCTTTGGGGTTCAGGTCCAAGAGGAACCTCCTGGGCCTTGCCCATCACGAGCACAGTAAGAGGGTCCTGGGGGCCCCACAAGCGACCTAGGTGGGCCAGGCGTGTGGCCATGGCCCCTGGCAGCCTCACCAGTTGGCCTTCACTGCCTTGATGTCACTCACGAGGTTCTGGGCCAGGCAGATGCCAAAGATCTGTAAGACAGAGGGCAGGTGAAGGAGGGGCAGCGGGCTCTGGGCAGGGGAGGGGCGAGCTGGGCACGCAGTACCTGAAGTAGGGCGATGCCCACAAAGACGCCAGCCACAACAATCAGGTTGTCCTGCAGCCACTTCTCAAATTGGCCCACGCAGCCTTTGGTGTGGATGAAGCCCTGCTGCTCCAGCTCCTAGGGGCACGCAGGCACCAGGCTCAGCCCGCCTGCCACTTCAGACCTCATCACAAACCCGCTCTCCCGTGGGTCCTTCGGCTTGCCAAGCAAGTTTGTCCTAGCCCAGGAGCTCGCTCACAGGGCCTCTGCACAACTGGGTCCTTCTCACAGGGTCTCAGCATGGACACCTCCTCCACAGAGAGGCATTTCCTGACTGCCTGGCCCCTAACCATCACCGTCCACATTCTCAGCTGAAACTGCCACGGCTGTCTGTATTTACAGCTATGAGCTCACTCTTTCCACTCCTCGAGGGCAGGACTGTGGTTAGCAGTCAGCCACACAGCAAGTGCTCAGCAAAGAGGTAGGAAGAGCAATCCATACCCTTGGGTACCCTCCGAAGGCCCCCAGGTTTCTCAGCACCCACTCCCCACAGAATCCCTCTGGCCTTTCAGTGGAGCTCACAGGAGGACCCTTCCCCATCCCAGTGCCCCCAACATCCCCCAGCCCTGTCCCAGCCCCTCACCAGTTTGAGCCGGACATCATAGCCACACTGGGTGTTGAGGACATCTTCCTGAAGGAAAACAGGCCAGTTACTGATAAGGTAAGGGGGCATCCACAGGCTGACCAGAGCTGCATCCAGTACAACTTCGGGTCTGGGAGGTCTTGGAGCCACAGCCCACCCCCAGGGTCCTACTGGATCCATCTCACCATAATCAGAGCCAAGCTCTGCTGAGAGAGAAAGCAACCACCCACAAAGAGGCCACTGTGTACCCAGGGACACGCTGGATGAAAAGACACTCCTCCCCCAATACCTAGGCCCCAGGACCCACAGAACCAAGCAGATTGTATGGCGGGTTTTTCTCAGGCAGGGTCTGCACCCTGCCTCATCCCCAGCCCTCCTCACCAGGCCCCACTCACCGCAGGGTCCCTGACACAGCAGGAGAAGGGTACTCCACAGCGCTCTCGGCTGGGGTTCAAGTCAGTGCAATTGAAGTAGATATTAAGGTTCCAGTCATTGGGCCCGCGAGCTCCGCAGCAAGACCACTGGGGATGGGGAGAGGGGGAGCCCCAGATAAGCAGGCCTATCACCAACAGCCAGGCCTACTCTGGGAGGTCACTCTCTCGGGGGACAAGGCTGGCTGCAAGGACACAGGGCTGGCTGAATGAGTGGGGACCTAGAGAGAGCCAGGCAGGTGGGCAACTCCCCACCCCTAAGCAGATACCAAGCCTACGCCCAAAGGAAACACAGTAGACAGCAAACTATAGTTCCAGGGTAGGGGAGGCGGAAGAACAGGCAGTGGTGGGGCAAGTTCTATCCCTCTATCCTCCTCCCCACCAACCTATGGCGGGCTGGAGAAAGGGAAGAAGGTGCAAAGACACAAGCTCAAGGATGGCGACTTCCTCAGAGCCTCCAAAGGCTGGAGTGAGGCCAAGCTCTGTGATGACAAAGGCGTCACTGAAGACGGGTCTGTACTGGGTCTCCCCACATTGGGCTCAGAGTTCACAAAGACCTTCTCTCTTCTGCGCAGGGACAGAAGGGGGACCCTGCCTGTCCCTGCTCCCTTCCTGCAACCCTCACAGCCATCCATTCCAGGTCCCAACTGCCTGCTGCCACTGCTGCTTCCTGGAACACCATGTTGTCTCCTTAGGTGGGGCAGGGGCGAGAGCAGGGCTGCCCTGCACCAAGAAGCCTGCACCACAGCAGTGAGAAGAGAACCCACAGTCTCAGCTGAAAGTGGCGCTCCGCACTGAGGGGGGGCTGGCCCACCTCGGCTGTTGGGGTGCAAGGGTGGCAACACTATAGGCCGAGTCGGGAACAAGGCCTGCGGCTCTGAGCACACGCCTGTCCCGCACCTGCTCATGCCTGCTGCCCCTTGTGGAGCAGCATCTCACCCTCTCTTCACACCGCAGCTCCTTTTCCTCCTTTGGGAGGCTTCAAAGTCACCGCTCAGAGGTCTTCCCTTGTGCACTTTCCCCTTTTCAGCCCTTACTACAACCTGCAATTTCACTCACATGGACACACACGCGTCTGCTTTGCTCTTCATCCACCTCTTCCCCGACTGTCAGCCCTACGAGGTAAGTCCCACCCTTTTTTCACTACCAAATCCCCACACATGCTTCAGGGGCTGGCGAACTGTGAGTCCATCTCAATTCTGTGCTGAGCTGCAATCCCCTGGCTCTATATCTGCCTCTGCTGTGGGTCAAGAACTCCTCAAGGCAGGCACCAGGGCCGGGTCACCTCTGGGCACTTGGGCTGACTCTCAGTGATGAGTGGTGGCGAGGGACTGTGGTTCCATGCATTGAACTGCCTGAGACTGTAAGTGCGGGATCACATATGGCATGAAGGGGCAGGAACATGCAGGTGGGAGGCATCTAGATTTCAGAAACTGATTTTTGGCTGCTACTTCTCAGAAATTAGGCTTATATTGAAGGGGAAAAATTAAGATTTTAAATAAAAGCCTGCCCCCAGGATGCTCCATGAGACCAAGTGGGCATGTCAGGCAGGCCTGATAACAGAACACCTCTCCCTGGGAATCCTTGCTGCCCTTGTGTAACTGATGGCCTTACAACGTAACTTTAAATGTAACAGGACATTCCTTCCTTTATATAACCCAAGCTGTGTATAACTGACAGCCTTGTGATGGAATCTGAAATGTTTAAACAACCTCAGCAATCCATGATGTCACCCAGCCCTCCAATCACATGCGCTGAACCTGCCTTTGTGCCTCCCTGCTCACTTTCCCTTTAAAGGCCTGGAAACCCCACTAGACAAGGGCTCTTTTTGGGTGAGATCCTAGTCAGAACCCACCAGCATAATAAACTGCATTCTAAATCTCCTGGGTGCTGTTTCTTCCCATGTCTGGTCTGTTTTCTGCAGCAGTATAAGGGCAAAGCTGCTCCGGGGGTCTCTATGTTCAGAAGCCAAAAACAGAAAGCCATGCACAGTGTACCATGTCTGTTAGCGATGGTAGTCTTGTAAGACCATCATGGAGTTAAAAAGCACCTACCTATTCCCCAAGGCCCTGTCCTTACAAGGCTAGCACATGGAGACCCAGGAGCTCCTAGAACAGGGGCACACCTGTGTCTTCCCTGGGGCCTGCGGGGTGAAGTGTGGTGCTGGTACACTGGGCATCTGCTCCGCTCTCAGGTACTCACGTATTCCTGAGCAAAGTCAATGAGGTTCTGGAGATCAATGTCATCCCGATAAGCCTTGACATTGTTGTTGATGAAGAGGTTGAGCTGGTCTCGAATCCAGTCCTTGAAGACGAAGGCAAGGATCCCTGTCGCCAGCTCGAGGAAGAAGATGAGGCCAAGGAACACAGAGAACTGTGTTGGGGCACACAGACCGTGAGAGCTGGAGAGGCACCCTCCGGGGCAGCACAGAGAAGAGCTCCATCCCTGTCTCCAGCAAAACCCAAGACAGACCGGAGTTCCCAGTTCCCAGCCTCTTTTATTTTAGCACCATTTGCCTTTTCTTGCATGCCGATGCTGTTAGGGATTAAATCCAATGCTCTGTATAAGGTAGGTAGGCGCTCTACCACTGAGACACACCGTCAGCTCTTTTAGTATTGTTTTATGAGAGTAAAAGCAGCACTGTTCCGACCTAGCCTTCTCTTTGTCTGGTAACCACATCTGCTTTTTTCAAAAACCATGCATCCTTCAGGTCCAGTCAGAAAGAAGCAAACTGTACCCTTCTCTCTCATTCTAGATACAGGACAAAGGGTGTGCCACCAATCCACCAATCAGAGCGCTATTTCCTCCCAACACAAAAGGATTGGTCTAAAGACAGCCAATCACAACAAAGAAGATGCAATTAAAGCACTCTAGGAGAAAGATAGGGAGAAAAGTGCCTCAGCTTCCAGCTCTAGTTCCTAGGAGGTTAACATGAAACCTGTGGCTTGTACCTAACATCCTTCTCCCAGTGGGAAAGCAGCTCACTAAGGGGGAGCAGAGTTGAGGAACTGAGAAAGCAGGAGACACTGTGGTGCTCCACGGATCAAAACACACCATGGCTAGCATATCCTGGGCTATTTTTACATGAGTCAATAAGTATCTTTTTTTGATTAGGCCACTGGATTTTAGTCACTTAAAACAGAAAAGGCCCAAACAGACTTACATAACATGAATCTAATGATAACGATAACGTAGCAATAAAACTACCCTATTCTAAGCATCAACAATGCTACTAAAATTGAGTTGGGCTGAATCTCAGGTTAGGAGAGGTACTTACAAACTTCAGCAGGAAGGTGTTCTCTCGGAGGGCACCAATACAACCAGCAAAGCCCAGCACTGACATGACGCCTCCAACCACCACAAACAGCCACACGGGGTCGAGGCCTCCCAGATCTGTCAGCGCTGAGATGTTAGAAAGAACGCCCTGCACGAGGGAGCAAGAGACAGGCGTGAGGGGCAGCCTTTCCCAGCACCTCATTCACCAGGCAGTCCCATTCTCCACCCCACTACCTACCTTCTCACTCCAGGCCCACAGGCCAATGGCTAGGAACAGGCCTCCCAGCACCTGCAAGAATAGCAACAATGGCTCAGGGCTAGCCACCAGCCCCAGGTCTCGCGCTGACCCTCACACATCCTTCCCCAGAACTCAGGGCCTTCAGAGTCAAGGAGAGAGAAGACAAGGCACAGGCTAAAAATGGGATCCAGGGTCCTTTCCACCTTTCCAAGGACACATCTCAGTACTTCTTCCCCACAGGGCAGCCTGGAAGACTGAAGCAACCTCTAGCAACTGGATGGACCTCAGAGGCCCAGGCCTGGAATTTAAAAGTGGAGCAGCAAGGGGCTGGGGATTTAGCTCAGCGGCATAAGCGCCTGCCTTGCAAGCAGGCAGTCGTGAGTTTGATCCCTGGTACCGATAAAAAGGAAAAAGACAAAAAAAAAAAAAAAAAAAAAAAAAAGTGGAGCAGAAAACAGCTGAGACACTCCCATCCCAGGCCAATTCTAAAGCTCTGGGCTCTAGCCTCCCTTCTCCCCAATCCTAAGCCCTCCTACCTACAACTCTGTCACCCCATGCTCCTCAATACCTGCTGTGAGTGTGTGCTGGGAATTGCACTGGACCCAGGGCCTTGTGCAGGTGAGCACCAGATCTCTACCACCTGCAGCATCCTCCCAACCTGTATCCTACCTTAACCTACATTCGCTGGAATAGGATTTCATAGCTCCTAGCAGTGACCCCTGAATAACAAAGAATCTCAATGCAGTGAAGTTCCTGAGAAGTCCCTTCTTACCCCAGAATACATTCAGATCTGGACCTGAGCAACCCACGGGTGTCCCCTGCACTGTCCATCCCCCACTCTCCTGTCTTATCTCCTTGATGGAAAGTCCTGAATGGCACAGTGACCTACACTCTTAGGCCTGATCTTGGGCAGGTCCCTGGACATCCATTCTCCAAGTAAAAGTTTCTATCCAAAAACTAAGAGATCATCTCTGTGAACTCCACCCCAACCATCCTCTTTCCTGCCCCTAACAGAAGGGTGGCCAGGCCAGTCCCCACAGGACGCTGGAGGCTGTGGGGAGGAGTACACTGTAGCATAGGAGCAGTGAGAAACCACAAAAAGGTTCCCAGTGGGGAAACACCAGGGCCAGCTTGACAGGGAAACAAAACATCTGAGCCTGAATTACAGGCACCTGCATTGGTCCGGGTAGTCCAGTCCTGTCAACTCAAACTCATGACTTTGCTAGAACTTTCCTGCCTTTCCCAGCCATTACCGTTCCAGCTACATCCTTGGCCCTCCACATCCTGACCCTATGTGTCACCCATGCTCCCTTTGGCAACCAGACATCACTCCCACATAAAATCCTCACTGCCCTAACAGAAGACCCAAGTGCTGGGCCCCCTCACCACCCTGCCCAGGGTTACCTCAGCTCACTGCTCCACCTACTGCTGCTATTCAGCTGTCAGCTTGGCTGTGTGACCTTAGATAAATAACTTAACCTCTCGGAGCCAATCCCTTCAGTTTTCCCATCTGTAAAATGTAGATTATATGGTGTCTGCAAGACTACAATCATTAGAACTCATTTGCTCCAACAATCCTGATGAGTAATCTTCAGTATAATCTGCTCCAGAGCTGCAAAGCTGAGGTCCAGGAGGAGGTCACTTAATCAAGGCCTCACAGTAGGTGGGCTACAGCCAGGCCTGACTTCCTCTCCTCACTAGTACTCCCTAAACAGTTGGTGAGCACTGCTGAGGCCCAAGGACACCCACACAGGGGCAGGCTCCAGCTGCATGTGGGTGGAGAACAGTACCACGGAATCCCGCTGACCACCTGAGAAGGCCTGACATTCTGACCCGAGACTCAGGAAGCAGAGACTGCAGAGGCCGAAGCTTTGCAGATGGGATGGGGGAGGGAGAAGGCAAAGATGACTTGACAGGGCCCAGAGCACACACCGATGCCATCCTGGTGGGACAGTAGCAGCTCCCTTCCTGCCCCAGTCCCAGTTAGATAAGCTGTGGAATGTTGTTTTCCGTTCCCCAGGGACAACTCTGGCTTTGCTCCCGGGGGCTGAGGACTCCGCTGCCAGCCTTCCCTCCCGGCAAACCCTTCCTCGCTCCTGCTGGAGGTCGAGGAGGGCCAGACCCACGCAACTTTGCAGGAGCATAGGGCGAGGCACCAGACTTAGCTTCTGAAGGGATTAGGAGTCGGGGATGAGCCAGACTGTCCTTCCCACGGGCTAAACCAAGGGTGGGGTTCGTGCTCCCACAAGGAGGTTGGGTGAGAGGGCGACCAGCACCTAGCAAGCCCCAGGAGTCTCCGAGGAAACACCCCTCCCTCTTCCGATCGGCCTCTGGGGGTTACACTAGAGACTCCCCAACCCCCACCACAGCTGGGCCCCGCCCCCCAGCCACCCAGGCCTCGCAGTGACTCCCTCGGGTGGTCCTGGGACTAGGCGACGTAGGGAAGGCGTCGGAGATCCGTGCTGAGCCCCATCTTGCGGTGCTGAGTGGGGTCTCCCCTAGTAGCAGCCTCAGCCTCCCTCTTCCACTCCCCCAGCACAGGGCCCGAAGCACTGCCTGCGCTCACCCAGAAGACAATGTTGAAGCCAAACAGGAAGTATTTCCCGCAGCAGCCGACCTCAGGTTCCTGGAAGTGTTGGTGCTTGCCAGGCATGGTGAGGGGCCACCCGCCGGCCCGGACAACGGGGCCGGAAACCGGGCCCAGCCCTCCACGGGCCGCCCTGGGCTGGAGCCGCCCGGGGCCTACCCCGGCGGCTGCGGCTTCATGGCTGCGGCCACACAGAGCGCCTGTCGCGCTGCGCCGCGCCCCGCCCGCCCCGCAGGGACCGCCCCCGACGCCTGACAGCCCCGCCCCTCCCGGGCCGAGGTCCCGCCCCGGGGCCCCGCCCCTATCCGGCTCTGCCCTGGCCCAGGCTCCGCCCCCGGCAGGCCCGGGAAGCCCCGCCTCTGAGTGCTGGAGCCCTGGGACGCAGCAGTCTGCACGCGTCGTTCAGACGCGACAGAATCACGGTCTGCCGCAGGCTCAGTACCCTCGCCCCTAGTCCTCTGCCTTGTCCGAGCGCATCCCCGAGACGCTGTAACTGCCGCTAGGGAGTGAGAGGATGGGAATCTGGATTGAGTTAGCATGGGTCAGCACGTGCAATTGCAACGGAGTTAAATCAGATCACGTTTCACTCACAGAAATTAAACTATTGACAACGGACTCGAACTCAGGCCAAACCTCGATGTGGGTCTTGTGAGTGCCACGCCTGTTGTCCCTTCAGTCTTGCTGGAGCCAATCCCCTACCCCTTGGTTACAACCCCTTTGGCATTTGAGGGTTCTGGTCTTTCATTCTTCCCCCAGCACCAGCTTGGGTCCTGCCGGGGCTCCATCCCTGGGAGTCTCACATGAGCCCCTTCAACACAGGACAGGCAAATTGAAGTTCAGGAGAAACTGAATCTTACCCAGAAGTTTAGTTTAACTAAAGAGCGTTAAGCCCTCCCCCAAAAAATAATTCCACGCTTGTTGAAAAGTATTTATTTTAGAACAGGTACAGAAAGGGGCTTAAAGTTAATTATCTTCAAGTGAATCCATCTCTAACAAAACCAGGGTGAGGCCTCAACCACCACCTAGCTCCTGTCCTGGGGCAGGGGCTGGTCTTCCCACCTCTCCTTTAGTTTAGCCCTAAAGGCAGGCGAGGCACAGGGGTATTGGCCCCAGCCGGCAGGCCCTGTCCATAGAAGACTGGACAAGAGGGTGTTCAAGGCTTTCTCTGCCCTCAGTCCATCCAGCCTCCAGGTATGGGCAGAAAACCCAAGAATTTCCTCTACCTTTTCATGGCCCTGTGGTACCAGGCAAGGCTAGAACCTCAGACTGCTGCCAGCCACTGCTGTACCTGTAGGCCTGAGCCCAACTCACTTTAAGGACTGTTCTTATGATACCAGTCAAAGTAGTAAGTCCCTGTGGTCCAAGCTAGTTAGTAAGCTGATGCAGTAGTATTGCTTCAGCCCAACTGTTTAGAACCATACAAACCCCAAACAAACCAACAAAAAAGTGTTCCTATGTACTTCAGGACAGGTAAAACTGGGTGATCTGCCTTCCAGTCCTGCCCAGGATCAGCTGTATAGCCTTAACTTCCCCTAATACCCCACATTGGAGAAAGTCAGGGGTGGCTACACTGCTCATTAAGAGTGGTGCCAAGGCCCCCCTCACACCACAAACTTATTCTTGGCTAAAGAGTTGCTCTTGGTGGCTGTGTCAAAGTGAGCCTGGTACCCAATGACGGTCTTCATGGAGAGGCCCAGGTGCTCTTTATATACCCGTCTGGAGGATGGGACACAGAGAAAAGGAAACACAGTCAGCACTGGGGCCTGGAGGTAACCTAGGCTTAGCTCCTTTGCCCACTGAGTTGCTACCCTGGTTGCAACTATTCCCATACTGTGTGTGTATGCATGCATATGCATGTTTGTTAACTATACGGAAACCCAAAGCAGGACCCTAATGCAAATGAAGAATTGTACTGCTGGAAATTGTTCAAAATCTAGATATACAAATGGGTAAGAAAGAAGGGGAGCATGGAAGGGAGAGTTCCAGAGGTCTCCCCTGCTGGCCAAGCTATGCCACCCTCCCTAGAAGGGGCCCAGCCCTCACCCAATGTATAGCACGCTGGCCTGATCCTCTGCCTCTTTTGTCCACACAGCAATCTTGTCTCCCTTGGTACGGATGTTGATGACAGCTCCACACACCTCCTTGCTATACTCCTCGAAACTTTCCCCAATCAGACACAGCAACTGGGCCCAAACAGAGACTATGAGCTGGGGCAAGGGACCACCCTGGCCACCCCTGAGACCACTGCAACCTGAAGGCCCATATTATGTCCACTTCTTCCTCTGAGGACACCCCTCCACACACACACTAACTTAGCTACTCACTGTCTCCAGCCACAGACGGTCCAACTCGCTGTGGCGCTGCTGTTTGGCAAGACTGACCAGCCAACGGCCACCCCGCTTGTTCCTGCTGTCTTCCCACATGGGCTCGATGCCATCCTGCAAGGAAGGATGACACATCAACTGCTTCCCTGTGTTCAAAGGGAAATGGGGACCCAGCTCCCTTGTACACGGCTTTCACTGCCCTCTGCCCAGGCCCTGGTAGACCAGCTTCTCTCTTACACCATCTACTCTGCATAAGAAGATACCACAACCAACCACCAGGGAACCCCCTTCTGAGTGCCCACAGGGCCCTGAGCCTAACCTATAAAGGTGACTATTGGTCATCTTTTATAGCCTTCTCTAGGTGTTCCTTTGCCCACTTTAGTGAATTAAATTCCTTAAAGAGCTAATAGGGGTGACTTCAGGAAGCCTCTAGGTAGACATTACCATGAGCAAGGGTGCTTGGTCCCCAAAACATTCTGGGCATGTCATCAGGTGAGGGAGATCTTTAAACACTGGCAATATTGGTGTCCGTTCCTAATTAAGGCCAGAAACCTGGCTCTTTCTCTGAAACCCTTCTCCCACATTCCCTTCTCAAGCATCCTTCAGCTGTAGCTCAAGTCTGATGTGTTTTGTCCTATCTGGGCTTCTATACTGTAGTTCCTCTAAGCAGAAATCACACCTCTGCCCTGATCTAAACTTTCTGTGAGGGAGGAAGCAACCAAAGCTGGGAACAATCAGGACCCTGTGCTTTGGGGGAGGGGGACATGAGGGCAGAGTTTACCTTGAACAGAGCGTAGTCACAGCCGGGAGAGAGCTTACTGGCCAACTGGATGTGACTGTACATCCTGAAGAGAGAGACCCCCAGCCCAACCCTGCCAATGCTGAAATCCAAGGCTTTTAGGGGCCTGGCCCAACTGGCCTCCACCCTCCCATCTCCTCACTAAACCCACTATTTCCCTTGGATTTTGTGCCTCCCAGTGTTTGTTCATTTGGTGCTGCTACTCAGAATTGCATCCCTACTTACCAAACCCTCAAAGCCACCTTTTCCTTGGAGCATCCCCTGACCCAAACCCCATGAAATCTACACCTGGGACCAGGGGGAGCCCTCCCCTGGGGCTTGCCCCTCCTCCCTTGATCACCCACAGACACTTTGAGGTGGCCTAGTTGTCACTTTTTGGCTAAGGTTCAGAAAGAGAGAACTTGCCTAAGATCACAAAGTTGTAGAAAGGCAGCCAGGGTCTTCTCCCTCAGCTTCTGCTCCCCATTTTCCCTCCGTAAGCCCTAGCAAGACTTCACACGGTAACTGTGCTCCAATCCCAGTGGCCCTGGGCAGGAGTCCCTATTGTCAACAAACGCAGAAGACCCCAGAGAGGGTGGCACAGCTGTGCTGCAAGCATGCCCAGCTGCAAGACTGGTACCCCGAGGAGCAGACAAGACACTCACGCCCAGAAGTCCTCCACAGTGTCAAACTTGGTGACCAGATGCAAGTTGTCCTGCCAGGCTCGGCCACGGTCATTCTTGAAGAACCACAAAGCCCACCTGGTAGGACAGACAAATCAGGGAGCCCTCCTCCCCATATCCACCCCAGCAGCACCTGGGCTAACGGGGAGATCCCCTTCCTTTGAAGGACAAGCTGAAAGATGAGATCAAGGGGTTGTCCAAGACCACACAGCCAGAGAGCCTGACCTGTTCTGCAGGGGGTGCAGCTCCGGCTGGACCTCCATGGAGCCTTCACGCTTTGCCTTTCCCCTCCAAGGCAACGGAGTCCTGGTCCCAGGAGACTTTGGAGCCTTCTCTCCCGTGTACACCCCCAATTCTGCCTTCTCTTTCTCTTTCTCCTCCTCCTTCTTCTCCCCAAGTCCACCCTCAGCCTCAGTCTCCTGACCAAAGAAAATCAGGGTAGGATGTAAGCTCTGGCCCTCACCTTCTTCCACCACCCTAGCTGGTCCCTTACCCCGGAGGGCAGCCAGTGGGACTTACAGGGTAGGAGGTAGCCATGACAAGCCTCAAGCTCCACAGGGACCCAACGATCTCCAGCTGCTGGCTTTTAATACAGCGGTACCCTGCCCACCTGCCCTGGGTGGGGGAAGGGGGAGGAGTCAGCAGGCAGGAAAGGAGGCTGCCCATCAGAACTCTCCATCTGCAAGCCTTTAGTGAGCACTTTTGCATGCAGCTAGGGCTCCAGATACAGCTGTGACCAGACAGATCCAGCTGCTCCCAGTGGCCAGAGCAATGAAGGTGTTTGGGGTCTGTGTTCTGCTGAGGGCGATGACTCTGAATTTAAAGTAGACTGCCCAGCAGATGGCAGAAGTAGCAGCACTGACGCATCGGTGAGGTCATGGGGGCTGTCTGGTATTGCTCAGCCACTCCGCCTTATCCAAGTGTAGTCTTTACCTCTGGAAGCTTCTGAGTTTTGTTTTGTTTTTGTTTTGTCAAACTTGGTGACCAGATGCAGGTTTTTCATTTTTATTTTGAGACAAGGCCTCGATCAGTTGCACAGGCTGGCCTCAAATTTACAATGTTCCTGCTCTGGCCTCCCACAGTGCTGGGATAACAGGTGTGTACCGCCACGCCCAGCTGAGCTTTCTAAAAATGTAATTGTTTGCTAACATTGAGCAACAGGAAGATTTTATATTAAAATCTACTCTCTGACTTTTGCTTGACAATTTGGGAAGGTCTGGCACCACTAGGCCCTCTGCCTCCAAGTTCCACCGTCCACCATGGCTGGGGTTGCCCCATGGAAGGATTCATTTGGCCCCACATAGCGCCACCTACCATCCTGCTCCATCTGAGTGTTCCCACTCTGGCCTTCATGGCAAGGCTCAGGGCCACAGTCATATGACCTGGCTTCAAGTCTTGCCCTACCCTCACCTTGGCCAAGTGACTGAACCTCATTGAGCCTCAGTTTCTCCATCTGTAAAGTAGGAATGCTAACGTACACCTCAGAAGCTTATTATTATGAATAATGTAAATCACGTGCAGCCCACACAAGGTAAGGCCCCCTTGCTCAATGGAAGTCAGCTGAGGTCTACAGAGCCAGGGAGGGATTAGGAAGGGAAATGGGAGGGGCCCTGTCTCTGGATACCCTTTCGTATCTTCTGAACAGCCTCTTTCATGCAGAGGATATGACCTTGTCAAGATCTCAGACATTTCCTATCCTCCCTCCACCACTTTCAGGGTCCCAGAGCCATGAAAGGACCTGTCCTTTCCACTTCCCACACATGGGTATCCATGGCTGGCTGGAGGCTGACAGTCAACGTCAGCTCAGCCTGCATCCTTTATCACACCCTGGCATGTGTCCGGCACAGGCTAAGTGCCCGGATGCAGTAAGGAGCAATAAATGAGGTCTGGGTGGAAGCTCAGTGGTAAAACACTTGCCTACATGTGCAAAGCTCTGGGTTTAACTCTCTCTTTCACACACACACACACACACACACACACACACACCCTGCTGCCCCCGTGCTCAGGTCTTACAGGAAGGACAGACATGCATCAGATAATCTCACAAAGGCCTGAGCTCTCACAAGCACAAACCTCTGAAAGCAATTTGCAGAAAGGAGAAGGTAACAGTCCATGATCCATAATAGAACTTTGGAGTAGTGGTTCTCAAGTGGGTGGATCAGAACCTCCTGCTGGCCCAAACCTGCCCCAGGGGTTTCTGATTTCTTGGGTTGGGGATTGGGCCTAAGAATGTTCATTTCCAGCCAGTTCCCTAGTGATGTTGGTCAGGGACTCCATCCAGGAAACGATTAATTAGCTCAGAAGCATTTATTCCCATGAGTGAGAGGTACAGGAGTGAGGAACATACCGTATGTGAGGCAGAGATAGATAGCATGGGGTGCTGGAGGAAGAGAAGAAAGGCCAGTGAGACTCGAGCCTGCAGGGGGAAAGGAGTGGATAAGTCCTTGTCCCTGGGAGCAGTGGCCAGCTACCATGTGCTCTGAGTGACCACAGCTAGCCTGGGGAGGTAACTCACACATCCCGGTGAGATCTCAGGATGGATATATAGAACCTGTGGCTGCACAGTGAGCAGAGGATGTGGATGAGAACGCTAATGCAGCTGGCCAAGTGACAGAGAGGGTAGCAGAGAGGTGAAGAGGAGATGGTAGACTTAAGAAGTATTGAAAAGGAGACTCAGTGGTGCTTGGTAGGCCCTGGAGAGGCGAGGCATGATGTTCCAGTATCTGTTGCTGCATAACAAACACCAACACCCCAAACAGAGGGACTTAAGACAGTGAGAGCCATCTGTCAGGCTCACATACCTGCAGTTTGGGCTGCACCCAGGAGGGACAGCTCATCTCCGCTCCACTGTGATTGAAGAGGAGGAATGCCAGGGACCCCCACCCTCATTTCATTCCCTTGTTGTAAAATGAGGATGACAATGCCTACTGGGAAGGATCGCTTTTAGTGGCTAATGTTAGAATAGATACTTACACAGTAGGTGTTTAGTAAATACCACCCATTTCCCTCCCTTTCCTCCAGCAAATTGAGATTCTTGTCTCTCCTAAAGCCTGGGCCTCCTCCAGTGCCTCCTTTGTCCAAGCTTCTTCACCATGGCCCTCTTGGAGTGGGATGTGCACCCTACCTGCCCAGCAGAGAGCCCGCCTGCCTGCCTGCCTGTCTATCTTCCTGTCCACCCTGAGGTCTCTGGACAGTAGGAAGACTGATAAGTATTTAATCCCACAGCCAGGCATCATGCACAGGGTTTAGGCATTTTCACAGAACCCAGGCAGGGCTGCGATCCCTGAGATCCTCTGCAGAGAACTCTTCCCACTGGGGTTTTCCCCATGTCCTACATCCTTCCCTCCCCAAAGCTCCAGTAGTCACTCTTAGTACACCCTTTGGAAGGGGAGAGAGAAGAATGGGAATGCCATTGTCTAAGGAGTAAGAGAAGAGAAACGGCAGGGGGTCCATGAGAAGCCAGAAGGGCCCAGGAGCCTGGGCTTTGCTGTCCTGTGCCTTAAAGTGGGGCTGGGGTAGGCAACAGTGAAGCGTCCGGAAACTTGCGCTAGAAAGTGGCACCCCAGCACCCCCCTACTGGGGCTACCATGTAACGTGACAAGAAAAAAATGTGGCAAATGTAAACAATTGCTAAGTCTAGGTAAGAGGATTTGGGTATTCATGGTAAATGTTATGATGGTGACTAGAACTTCAGCAGCTATCATGAAGCATGGGGTGACCTTGAAGATGGAATCATGTGCCATGAATGGTACCTCAGAAAGGGAGGAGGACCCATGATGGCCCTCTAGGGGCCAGAGCCAGGGGCAGTGTCTCCAATTTGGTGCTGAAGAAAAGCAGTTAGCCTGAGGCGAGATGAAAGATGAAGTCTGATGTGGGAGGATACAGGAAAAGACAATCCAGCTGGGTCTATATTTAGATGGTGGGGAAGGGGAAAATTGGCCCACTCCTGGATTATTGTACTCCACACCTCACCTCACACCCACTGTAGACATTTTGAAAAAGGACCCGAAGAGGGAGCAGTGCTAGTCTGGGAGACTGAAGAGATCCACAGTCAATGCTGTCCTCCCCAGTGGGAGCAGCAGGGGAAGACGTTTCTCACCCAGAGACTCAAGGAGGCCGAAAACAAAATGAGGACAAATTTAATTTCCACATAGGGTTGGCCAGTGGGCAGCAGCAGCAGCACAATGGGATGAGAGATTTCCTAACACACACAGTCATCGCCGTCATCATCACTGCCATCACCATCACCATCGTCACCGTCATCATCATCACGTCCACAGAGATGGTGGGGGTTGCATGGCCAGAGTTCAAAACCAGCAAGTGAGTTAGGGGGAAGCAACAGGCCTCAAGGCTTCAACAGGCGATTGTTGGGCCCACAGAAGGAACTGCATGCGTAACTGATACCAGACAGTGATGGAGTTGTGTGGAACCGGGGTTAATGCTGTAACAACTGTGTGAAGGTCTTTATTCTTAGCGCTACATCGGTAACTGTAGTTTTTATAACCTTGCTATTTTGTTGGGTGTAGGCCATCTAGGTTTTTTTTCTTCTTCTTCTGTTCTTTCTGGTTCCTATTTTCATTTTTCTAACTCCTCTTTCTTTCAGATTTCTTTATTGGTATTGGACGATTGTAATACTTTAAGTTTCAAGGATTTTCCTGGACCTACGTCTCTTCTAGTCTTTCCTCCTATCTGCTGTCTGCCCGCTTTAGTCTTAAGTTTTTGTCTATTTCTCCTTCTCTTGCCTCTTTCCCCTGGTCCTCCTCCCTTCCATCTCTCCAGTGTCACAAATATAATAAGGGACTGCAAAACCACAGTAGAGAGCAAGAACTAACCAGTACTATAAATTAAACGTACCATTTAGAGGTATGTCAGGGTAATCCTTAACAAAAGTGGGTTTAGAGGAACCTAACAAAATTACCCACAAACATTTTAACAGGCACCAACAGTCTCACTCTCTCCTTAAACCTCTAAATACACATTAATCCACTACACACGCCTTCTTACCTACACACATTCTCTCAGCCCTCCTCAGTTCCAGTGCTTTCTCTCAGGCACAAATAATTCCAGTGGAGTCCAACTTCCTACTTGCTTTTTACCTCCTGACATTTCTCTCCCTCTTTTCCCAAGGACATACCCACTTCCCTTTACCCTTCCTCTCCATGTCTGCACACCTCAAATATCCAGTACCATGCAGCCTGGAAAGGGTGAAAGTATCAAAATTATGATGCTTAGAAGTCTAAATTAAAGCTAATTGGAGCCAGAAATTAGAAAATAACTTCCATTACATTTGTAAAAATCTGTTTATAAAAATCATAGTAGAAAACTTTCAAAGTATAAGGAAATAATGCAACATACAGGTAAGTGAGGCTTTATAAAACATCATATAATTACAATGAAAACAGAAGTCCCCCATGGAACATCATATTAAAATCCCAGCCACCCAACAAAAAGATTCTTAAAAGCTGTCAAAGAAAAGCAAAACATCATGTATAAATGTAAACCTGTTAGTGTTACAGCAGACTTTTCAACACAAACCTTAAAGGCCAGGAGAGCTTAGAGTAGATTGTTCCAAGCCCTAAAAAAACCACTTCCAGGGCTGGGGATTTAACTCAGCGGCATAAGCGCCTGCCTTGCAAGCAGGCAGTCGAAAGTTCAATCCCTAGTACCAGTAAAAACGAAAAAGACAAAAAAAAAAACAAAAACAAAAACAAAAAAACTTCCATGCCAGACTAATATACCCTGCAAAATTGTCAAAATTGATGGAGAAATAAGCATATTCCATGACAAAGAACAGCTAAAGAGATACATGAACACCAAACCAGCATGTCAAAAAATACTCAAGAATATCCAGAGACAACAAAGTCTACAAAGCCAAAAGCAGGACACACAAAGCAAGTAATTAAACAATAAAGGAAAAATTAACAAATAAATATCAGAGCTGAACCGCAGCTTCCAACAAATGGACTTAATAGATATCTACAGTGTTCTCTCCTACTATGTGTAATAGAATACATATTTTTCTCAGCGGTATATGGAACTTTTTCCAAAATAGATCACATATTAATCTATAAAACCTGCTTAAACAAACGCAAAAGAATGAAAATAATCCCATGTATCCGATCAGATCATAGCACACTGAAACTAGAAGTCAATTGCAAAAGAAATTACAGAAATTTCATGAACAGCTAGACATCAACTCACTCCTAATAACTCAGAGATTCACAGAAGAAATCAAGAAATTAAGTAATTCCTAGAATCAGATGATAATGCCAACACAACATACCAGCACCAATGGAACACAATGAAAACAGTCCTAAGAGAAGAATTTACTGCCATGAATGCTTACATTAGAAAAACAGAATGAACTCAAATAAACAACCTAATGATGCAACTCAAGAAACTAAAAGAAGAGCCAGCATTGTGGAGCACACTTATAACCCCAGCACCTGGGGGCTGGGGCAGGAGGATCATTGCAAGTTCAAAGTTAACAAAGAAGCTAAAAGAACAAGAACAGTCCAAACCCAAACTTCATACAAGGAGGGAAATCATAAAGATTGGCGCAGAGATTAATGAATTTGAAACAAACAAACAAACAAAAAAAAGAATCAACAAATTTAAGAGCTGTTTTTTTGTTTTGTTCTGAGACAGGATCTTGCTATGTAGTTCGGGTTGGCCGTAAACTTGCTTGTGTAGCCCAGGCTGGCCTTGAACTCATGGCAAGACTCCTGTCTTATCCTCCCAAGTCCTGGGATAGCAAGTGTGTCCCACCACTCCCAGATGAAGAGTTGACCAACAAAATTAGAAATAAAAAAGGGAAAATTGAAAAGGGGACCAATGAAATCCAGAGACTCATTAGCATCTACTGTACTATGAAAAACTATACTCCAATAAATCGGAGACTCTTGAAGAAAGGAACAAATTCTTAGACTCATATAAATAACCAAATTGAGGAAGTAATAAAAAATCTACCAACTAAGAAAATCCCAGGACTTGATGGGTTCACTGCCTAACCCTACAAGACTTTCAGGAAGGATATGTCAATATCCCTCAAGCTATTTAATGAAATAAAATAGAAGTACTTTCAAACTCACTCCTGGAAGCTAGCATGACCCTAATTCCAAAGCCAGACAAGGATCCAATTGAAAAAGAAAACTACAGGCCAGTCTTTTTACTGATCATAGATGCAAAAATCTCAACAAGGTATTGGCAAATGAATGCAGCAAATCATCTAAAAGAGCATACATCATGAACCAGTAGGTTTTATCCCAGAAATGCAAGGATGGTTGAACATACACAAATTGATAAATGTATTACATCACATACTAAACAGAAGCAAGTAGAAAAATCACATGATCACCTCAATAGATGTGGAAAATGCCTTTGACAAAATTCAGCATCCATTCATGATAAAAAAAAACCTGAAAAAATACACATAGAAGGACTCCCTCTCAATCTAATGAAACCCATTTACAACAAAACTTCTACCAAAGTAATATTAAATGGGGAAAACTGAAATCAGGAGTGAAACAAGGATGCCCAGTAGCACCAGTCCTATCCAGTAGAGTAACAGAAACATTATTCAAAGCAATACAGTAAGAGGAAAAAAATAAAGAGGACACATATAGAAAAGGAAGAAATCAAATTATCACAGTTTGCAGGTAACATAATCCTTACACTGAAGACCCAAAAATTCCATCAAGGCTCCTAGAATTAATAACCAAATTCAGCAATGTAGCAGGATACAAAATCAACATACAAAAATCAATAGCATTGTTCTATACCAATAATAATCCACCCAGAAAGAAATTAGAAAACAATACCATTCACAATAACATCAAGGAATTAACCTGACTAAGGATGTGAAAGAATTCTATAAAGGCAACTTCAGCACTCTGAAAAAGAAGATTGAAAGAGACATTAGACAGCAGAAAGACATTATCCTAAATCCTATACACCAATTTGATGCAAACCCCTAATAAGATACTAGCAACATTCCTCACAGAAATAGAAAAATCAATTTTGAAATTCAGATGGAACCAGAATAGATCCAGAATAGAATAATGAGTACTGGGCAACAAGCACAAAACAAGGGACACGATAGTACTAGATTTCAGGTTATATTACAAAGCTATAATAATAAAAACAGCATGATATTGGCACAAAACCAGACGTGGACCAGTGGAATAGAATAGAGGATGTAGAAACAATGTGAGGCATATTCAGTCACCTGATCTTTGATGAAGGGGCCAAAAACATATGCTGGAGAAAAGACAGCTTCTTTAGCAAATGGTGCTTGGAAGGTTCTCTATACACATGCAAAAGACTGAAGTTAGAACCATAGTCTCCAGTACATTCAAAAATCTAAGCAATGAAACAGAAACAACCTTCTGGAAGATAAGAGGTAAAACTCTTGCAGTCATGGGTATAGGTGAGGACGTTCTGAACAGAATTCCAACTGCACAAATAATAAAGAATCAACAAATGAGACTCTATCAAATTAAAAGACTTCTGTCTGGTAAAGGAAACAATCAACAGAGTGAACAGGCAAGCTTCAGAATGGGAAAAAGGGTTAACAGTTACACATTGGACAAATATCTAGACTACACAAAGCGCTTGAAAAAATTAGACCCCCCAGAATAAAAGACCCCATTAAAAATGGACAACTAAAATAAATAGACACTTCTATTCTATAGAAGAAAAGTACAAATGGCCAATACGTGAAAAAGTGTTCAACATCATTGGTCATTAAAGAAATGCAAATTGGGGCTGGGGATTTAGCTCAGCAGCATAAGCACCTGCCTGGCAAGCATGAAGTCATGAGTTCAATCCCCGGTACCAAGAAAAAAAAAGAACTGCAAATTAAAATAACACTGAGATTCCATTTCACAACAGAAAGAATGGCACTTATCAAGAAATCAAATAATAACAATTGCTGGTGAGGCTTCTACATTGCTTGTGGAAATGTAAACTAGTATAAACATTGTGGAAATCAGCATGGATAATCCTTTAAAAACTTAAAATAGAAATCCTGTCTGACTCAGCTATAATCTTCTATGTATCTTCCTCAAAGCGTAAAAGACAACATATTATAGTGACACACACATACCCAAATTTATAGCAGCACAATTCACAACAGCTAAATTGTAGAAGTGACTTTCAAGTCCATCAACAGATGAATGGATAAGGAATATACACAATAGAGTACTATTCTGCCATAAAGAAGAGTAAACTTATATTTGTAGGAAAATGGATGTGCCTTGACACAACAATGTTAAGAGAAATAAATCAGACACACAAGCTTAAATAACACATGGTTTTTCTTATATGAGAAACCCAGAACATAAATGAAGAGTAAAGTAAAATCTAGGCAATAGGAAACAGGGTGATAATTTTTTTGCAAAAGGGATGAGAGATCAAAAGATAGAGCCACACAAATCGTGTGTAACTAATATTAGTGGATAGGAGTTTATTAACAAATTCTGGGCAGCTCAAAGTGATGCCTCAAATGCTACCACCACCAGGCCCATGCAGTCTCTGCTGATGCTATGGGTGGGCATGACAAGGCTGTTGCCCTCTTGGTGCTGGACGTTCCTGGATGAGAGTTGCCTAGGGCCCCTGGCAAGAGCTTCCTCCATCAACACCATCACCCTTCATTCCCCTGCTTCTCGTTCCCATCAGCCTCAAGTTCCCAGTCAGGGCTGTTTGTGTCTGAGGCTGCACAACTTAGGCCTGTATCCAGGCTGCAAGGCAGGCTAGAAAAGCAAGTATTTGGCACGGCCAGGTTTTAGAAGGGGACATAGGCTCTGCCACCTACAGGAAGCCCCAAACATAGGAAGAGAGCAAGTCTAGTGCCGTGAAACTGAAAACAATGTCTCCCGTGCTAGTTTCTAATATCACACTACCCAAAGTTAAATAATCAAACAATGCAAAAAAGGAAGTGATAAACTTACAAGTCTCTGTCCGGAGCCTTCTCAGGCCCACTTGCCAGAAGCACTAACAATGAGCTGTGCTTTGCAAACCTGCTGAGGTGTCCCTGTATATCTGGCTGTAAATAAGTACAGCCATCCTTCAGTATCCACACGGGAAGGGCTCCAGGACCCTCAGCAGACACCAAAGTCAGCGGGTCCACAAGTCCCTCAATCAAATGGCCTTTGCATCAAACTCACCCACATCCTCCTGTATACTTTAAATCATCTCCAGGTACTTAAAATACAACATAAATGCTATGTCAATAGTTTAAAATGATGACAAAAAAAAAAAGTCCCTACATGTGCTGGACAGATCCAAATTTTCCAAGTATTTTTGATCTTGGTTGGTTGGTTGAATACAGAGGGTGAACTGTATGTATACATTTGTATGTGAGATGCCTGTGCATAATGTGTAATATGTGATAAGTATGTATATGCACCACTATATACTTATATAAATATATTTTGGTTCCAAAATTTATATACTTGTATGCATTAAATATAGTATCTATAAGCACATATGTAATTTTCTGCATCAAAATTGATCCATTCAACACATAATCATCTAATATGCTGCTTTTTTCTACACTACTATGTCTCTTTAGGGGGGGTGTTACGTTTATTAATGTGCAGTAATCATTACTTTAGCGCAAAAAACTCAAACTGAGTCAGAGACAGAGTTTACAACATACACTACCCTATCTTGACCCATGCCAGGGCACACATGTCTGGCTCACCCTTTCTGACCACAGCACAGCATGCCACTGGGTAGACGGGCCATGCCTAAGTAGCCAGTCGTTTGCAGATGGATATTTAGTCTCCGCAGTTTTGGGGGCACCAATAAACCCTGCTGCCAGGAACATCCTTGCACAAATGTCTGTGTGTGCATGTACGAGTAGAGAGGCATGGAATAAATTCCTAGAAGGGGAGATTTGGCTCAAAAGGAGCATGCACTTATGCTCTCAGTACAGAGAGCCAAACTGCCTTCCAAAACCTGCACCCATTTGCAGCGCAGCCCTACCAGCGGCCTGTAAGCATTTTCCCCAAGTCCTGCACAGTCTGGCTGCTGACTCCTGCTTTGCTCTTCACGTCTCCCTTGCACAGCCTGCGTTTCTGGCCACGGTGGCTTTATCCATGCTACCTCCACAGCTTAAAAATCTCCTTCCTACTCGTCTGCCAAATAAAAACTCAGTGATCTTGTAAGGTCCCAGCTCGCGTGGCGCTTCTTCCCTGCATCCCGCATGCCTTGAGCTCTTGGGGTCCCTTTCCTCTAGGACTCCCCTGCCACACACACGCACACACACAGTGCCATCTCCAGTTCTGCCAGTGTCCCTACATTGTTTTCCTTTTCCACCGTCTCCACTCCTTGAACCTGGACCATCTCGAAGCGTTCAATAATCACACATCCATCCAGCCATCTGTGTTTTAGAGAAGGGGAAATGCTTTGGGAAAAGACAGCCAGGCAGCCGAGGTTTCATAGTCAGTAATGACCGCAGCTAGGATTTGAGCCCGCCTGAAGTCCAAAGCCGACTGCATTATTTCTTCCCCACTCCCAGCACGCCACATCATCCCCCTGCCCACCCCCAGAGACTACGAGCGTCAGGTCCCGGGTCCCCAGCGGCACGTCGGAAGCCCGCCCCCGGAGGCGCGTCAGCTCCGCGGAGATGTCACCCTCCCCGCCCCCTGTCAGTCAGGCGGAGGGGGCGGTGCAGCCGCCAGGGGGGGCGCTGAGCTCAGAGCTGCCGCAGCGCCGGAGCTGGAGCCGGAGCCCGAGCGCGCGAGCGAGCTGGGCGCGAGAAGTACCCTTGGTGGCCACGCAACCGGGGCCCGGCACTGCTGCGCCCCTGCTCAGGACTGGTGACCCGAGCGCCCGGCCGCGGCCGGATCCCCCGCTGGCCCGGGGTTCACCCCTGCCGGCGCTAGCCCAGCCTCCGGGTCTGCTCGCCGCAGCCGCCGCAGCCGCCTCTCCATTCCCAGCCCGGGCCCCGCATCCAGGTGAGGCGGCCGCGGACCCGGAGCGACTGGGGCAGGGTGAGACTGGAGAAGTCCGTGGGGCTGGAGATGGGGAAAGGGAGGTAAAATGGAACGGGGCTGCAGGGAGAGGGTGGGTGCACGTTAGTGTGCACCCCCTGGGTAAGTGCGTCTGTTTCTCTGTGTTTGCAACCATCTGAGTGGCCGTGTGGACGTGCGTCCGAGCTCGTGTGTGTCGGGGGTCCGTGCGCGTTTGAGCGTCTGCATGTTCTGTATGTGCACGTGAGCGTGCCCGCGATGCATGTTTGTGTGCATGACCGTGTGACTGTCGTGTGTGTGTGTGTGTGTGTGTGTGTGTGTGTGTGTGTGTGTGTGTGTAGGCAGGCCACGGGTCTTCGCGCCGAGCTCCGCACCCCGGTTCTGCGGGGCTGCAGGTTGCAGGGCTCCGGATAACAGAGGCCGTAGCCCCTCCCGCGTCCCAGGTTTCAAGGACGCTGGGACTCACCACTGCCACTGCCCTAAGGCCTCACACTGGGGAATCTGAGGAGGAGAAAGGGGCTCTGGGAAAGAAGGGGCGCCAAGGAGTGGGGATGGGGGACACCGCGTCCCTCGGGAAGGGCTGGGTAGAGGTGTCCAGCCAGAGCGCCGGTGCGCGTGTCTTCACCCTCCCCAGGCCGCCAGGATGGACGTGTTCATGAAGGGCCTGTCCATGGCCAAGGAGGGCGTTGTGGCTGCCGCTGAGAAAACCAAGCAGGGGGTCACCGAGGCTGCGGAGAAGACCAAGGAGGGCGTCCTCTACGTCGGTGGGCTTCCGGGGTTGCAGGGTTTGGGTGTCCTCTGAGGGTGTGGGGACGGGGTCCTCACAGACAGTGAGTGATCCAGGCAGAAGAATATGAGTCAGCAGACAGGCGGGGTCAGCAGGGGTCACTGGGGACATAGCCCAGGAAAGCCTGGACTGGTAAACGATTGAAGGCAGGATTCTGCTGAAAGACCAGAGACCACTGCAGTGATCAAAGCAGAGAGCTTCCTTTTTAAAAATTTCTATTACCATTATTAATAGTTATTTGGTTTCGAATCCGTGCTCTAGGACCAAGTGCTGTGTGAATTACGATTATATCCCTTCCTTCATTTAAGGCTCCCAGCCCATTCCACGGAGCAGAGACTCCCAGAGATTTAGCTACCTTGCCCAAGGTCACGAGGCTGATTAAACCGGAAGCAAGGGTCTGAATCCCGCCTTATAGACTCTGAAGCCCTAGTCTGTGTGGGCCTCCTCCCTCCCCTATCAGTCCAGGCTCCTCCAACCATTGCCAGGGCTGGGCTGCTCACCAGGTCCCTCTGCCTCCCATCGCCCGCGGCTCCCCTGTCACCAGCTCTCCTCTCCTCTTGTCCACCCTCCTTGCAGCTACCAGCTGGTGTCAGGAGAAAGGCCAGGTGGTTAAAATCTCTCTTCTTAAGTGGGAAAGGAGCTTATAGGGTCATTTACATAAAGAGAGGACGGATGGAATTTACACTTACCTGTTTTTTGGAGCCTTTTTGGTGACTGGAGGCTCCCTGTGTGCAGCAGGTGTAAGTACCCCTTATGTAGGCTTAATGGGGCTAGTAAGTGGCCCCATGATCACAGCAGATTTGATCTATGCAAATATTTTGTGCCCACTTACTATTCACCAACCATTGTGCAGGTCCTGGGGATGTACCAGGGAAGAACAGACATGGGTGGTTAGTCTCCTCATGACACAGAGCGTTTTGATGGTGGAATTCTGGATAGGATAGAAAGAGGTGGCATCTGAGGCTGAATACTAGGAGTCAGCTGAGGTATGGTTTGGTCAGAAAAGGTAGGTATGAAAGCCTTCGAATGCGCAGAGAGCAGAGGGCAGACAGCAATGGTAGGAGATGAGCTTGGGTTGGTGGGCAAGAGCCAGGTGACCAGGAGGTCCTTGTAAGGCCAGAGTAAAACATTCCTGTGACTGCAGTGAGAGATTGTGAATAACAGATGGGCATGATCTGACTTCAGTTTAGAAAGGTCTCTCAAGCCTTCGGAGACAGAGCAAACTGCAGGGCATCCCCTTAGGGAATAGTGTAGCCACCAGAAGAGGGTGGCCCAGGAAAGGCAGAGTGATGGAGACAAGAAGCTCGAGCCCACATCTGCCTGACCTCATCCTGGCCTCCTTCCTGCCCCCTCCCCCCAGCCCTACTGCTCCGCTCCTGTTGACCACTGGCACCCCTGTCACTGTCTCTTCCAACAGACTGCACCCCTGCCCTCATCAGATGGGCACTTCCTGTTCCTCCCTGCTGAGGATCCTCCCCAAATAGCCCCCAGTTCCTGCATGTTAAAGCTTCAGTTCACTGTAGCCTAGCATTCAGAGTCCTTCACAACCATGCCTCAGTGTACATTCCAACTCATTTCTCAACATGCCCCTTGTTCTTGGTACCTGGGCCCAGTCACTTCCTGTGTCTTACTGCATGATTCCCTGAACCTGAATCACCCTCCGAAGTTTCCTTCCAGAATACTCACCTGCTCCCATTTCTCCAGGACCAGGCAGTATCCTTTCTGCCCTCATGAAGCCCCTGGAGAATACCTACTTGAGGACCCCACTACCTGAGGTCCAGGAACTGAACCTGCTCCTCTCTTACCCCATTCAGGCAGTGAGTGACTAGCCCAGGTCCTGGTACAGAGCAAACGAGCATTTGCAGGAGGAGTGAATGGGGGCCATGCAACCTGCCCACCCCTGTCTCTGGGTTCTGGCTGGCCTTTGCCCTAAGCATCCTTCTGTCCACACCTGCTCTACTTTATACTCTGTCCACAGGTCTCAGCCCACCCAGAGGCTCACTTCTGAATTCAACAGCAGTTGTCTGGGTTGCTAAATCCTCAACTCCCCGGGGCCTCCCTAGCCCAGCCCAAGGCTTCTTGCCTTTCCTAGTGGCCTTCCCACATTGATATGACCAAGGTGCTACCCTCCTGGGAAGGCCCAGCCAATGTCCTGGGTGCCCATCACAATGTTCACATCACCCTTAGACCCACGCGTATCCAAGACTCCACTTTAAACAGAATGAAGAGTCTGGCCCTTGTTAGGAGGCGATAAGGGAGACAAAATGGAATGGGGTAGTTAGACATGGACTGTCACACATCAGGGGCCCTGGAGGCACCTTTCAAACTACATAGCTTGGTTCCCCCAGCTCCACCTGGCTCCCAGCCTAGGCCACGCACTCCTACAGTACTTGGTAACAGAACTTGGGAGGCAGAAACACCTGAATTTCAATGTCCATTCAGACACTTACTGGTTTCAGGGCCATTTTCAAGCTTCTGTTTCCTACCTGGGAGACAGGACACCTCACAGGCTGCGGAGAGGAGTGCATGAACCGGTGCGAGTCACTGCTTTGCCACCCCTTGGGGCAGGTACAGGTCTCAGGCCATCAGGGGGACTGCAAAGCCTAGGAAGGAGAGGTGGGCCCGGTAGGGTTAATATTGGGGCAGGACTGGCAAGATGTAGGTACCAGCGAGGCAACAATGGGGTGTCCTTCTGTCCATGCTGTAATCCTGTGCCGTGCCGGAATATCTGTTCCCTCAACTCAGACTCCTTATATGTGCTCTTTTTCTCCCTGCAGGAAGCAAGACCCGAGAGGGGGTAGTACAAGGTGTGGCCTCAGGTACCAGCTCAGCCCTGGCACAGTCCCCTTCCCTACGATCAGGCCGGGAGGGTGGGGGTGCCCCTGGGAAGGGCAGGCTCTGGGATGTTATGTGGGAGCATCTGTGCCTCCTTAACCCTGACCCCTCAACCCCTTCCCCTCATCCCTTGGTGCTCCAGTGGCTGAGAAAACCAAGGAGCAGGCATCACATCTGGGAGGAGCCGTGTTCTCTGGGGCAGGGAACATCGCAGCAGCCACGGGCCTGGTGAAGAAGGAGGAGTTCCCTACGGACCTGAAGGTGAGTGACTGCCGCGCACACACACCGGCACACAATAGACAGTGTCGTCCCCTGCACCCGTTGCCAGCCTGGGGCACAGACACCCTTGCCTCCCATTCTCCAGGGCTCAGAATGAGGCCTCTATGCATCAGATGTGTGTATAGATGCAGTGCTCCCTGACATGGCCCAGAATGGACTGTGTGCCTGATCCCACCTGCCAGTGTGACCCAGCACACTTCTGGCCACGTCTGCACGAGTTATTCACTTCATTAAATAAGTGTCAGTGCCAGCCAGGAATTGCTGTAGAGGCTCCTGCAGTGAATAGGATGCTCTGTTCACACAGCTGACGTTGTAGTGAGAAGAGGTGATGAAAAGCAAGCCAATAAACCAGGCAACTTCCAACAGAGATAGGTGCTGGGATGAAAGACAGCAAAGATAATAGGATGAAGTCTAAGGGTGAGAAGGTTACTTGAGCCAGAAAGTCTTCACTGAGAAAGTGATGTCTGAACTGACACCCAAGGGGTGAGATAGATATGCAAGAAATGTACTTCAGACAGTTAAGAATAGTAAATACAAAGGCCCTGGGGCAGGTGCAAGCAGCTATGAGTATGGTGGGAGGGGTGTGTGTCCCACATTTGTGCACATCTGTTTCCCTAGTGGAGTGATGGTGCCTACCCATGTAAGCATGAAGACAGAGGAGTCCATTAGGACTTCCTGCAAGGAAAGAGCCGTGAGCTCCTGAGCCCCAAGGAACAACTCCACCACTCCCTGGCTTGTGGCTCTGGTCAGCTCCCATCATGTCTCTGAGCCTGATTATCTGCCAGCAACACGAAGATGAACACACTTGTCCTTAGGCAGGTTAGAGATGATACAGATGAGAAAGTCTCAACATTTAAACATGTATCGGTGTCACCAGGAGGCCACGTGAAAATACAAGTGAGCCCCATCTTTAGAACTTCTAGTTCAGCGGATGAGTTGGGGGCCAAGAAGTTTTGTTTCTAATGAGTATGCCCGTGATGCCAATGCTGTGATCCCAGAGGTGACACTTTGTGAGCCAGCAGAACCTGGCTGGTATTCCGTGAGTGGCCCATTTGGCCACATGGTCATGCAAGCAGTCTGTGTCCTCTTCAGGGAACCATGTGATGACCGTTAGGCATGGAGGAGCACCCCTGGGACGGTGTGCCCTGTGCAACTATATACACACATCTAGACATTAGTCCTGTGAGTCCCTGAGTCTGTCCCTGGAGGCCCTTTGACATTTAGGTGCAGTCTAGGGGACTGGCCAGTGAGACCCCGTACCAGCCTCACTCCAGACATTTTGCACATGGTTCCTTCCATGGTTCAAAGCCTAGGTCTTTACTCAATAGTCCTGGTTCCAGTGCTGTCTCCACATTTTACCATCTATGCAATTTCTATTTCCTGTAACCGTATCACTAGTCATCATTCCCATGTGTTCATCCCTAGACATTTTACATGGAGTGACTCACTGACTCTTCAGTATCACCTTGAGAAAGGTACCATTACTAGCCCATTTTACAGAGAGAGGAATTGAGGCTCAGAAGTGAAGCATCTTGCCAAAGGTCCCCTGCCTCCTTCTCTTGTAAGTCTGTTGGGATCATAAGCTTAGGTCCATATCATGAGAGTTACTTTGTGCCAACACAGGCCCAGGCCCTGTGCTAGGTGCTGGGGTGCAGAGAAGGCAGGTCGGATATGCCCTCCTGAGGGTCTTTGTGACAGGCTTTTGCACAGAGTCATTTCTCTCTGGCCATTTTTCTCCTACTGGTGCTTGGAAACATCTCATGGCTGCTGTCTCAAGGGATTCATGTTTAGAGTCACAATCCAAACAGCAACCCTTCAAGGCTCCCAGGAGTGAGGGAACCCAGGCAGGCTCACATCCAGCATTTCTGATGATGCCACCTTCCGGCCTGCTTTCAGTAAGTACATTATCATGAAATCCTCACCTCAGCCTCTATTCCAGGCCGCTGTGATCTGAGGTGAAACAACTTAGCTGATGCAATATAGCTAGCAAGTGGCCAGGCTGGGGTTTTTCTAAGTGAATTTTTTGTTTTGGTGCTGGGGATGGATCTCAGGGCCCATTTTGCTGAGCGTGTGCTCTGCTACCAAACCATATACCTGACCCTTAAGTGACTTTTTATTGAAGTACAATGTACATGCAAAGAGCATGCAGCACCATGAAATTTTCAAGAGAGCTCCCCTATGTAACCAGCAGTCAGCTCAAGACAGAACATCAGCCTCCCGACACACTCCCCTCCTCTGTTCTCCCTTCCAAGCCCCTACCCCTAAAGTCAGGACTAGGCAGAGATAAGTGAAGAGTAGGGGCACCCACTCACAGGGCTACCTCTGTAGGGCCTGGAAGTGAACCCTATGTGCCTCCCTTGCATCACCTCAGTCTTGGCCATACCTACCCACCCTCCAAGAGTACCTGCTTCCTCACCTCTGCTACATAAAATAGTTAGGTGTTTCTCTACACAATAGAAAGGTTTTTGGGGTTTTTTTTTTGCTTTTAGTTTTTTTTTGGGGGGGGGGATCAAACTCAGGACCTCTCACTTACCAGGCAAGTGCTTGAGCTGCTGAGCTAAATCCCCAGCCCCAGTGAGGGGTTTCTTAACTTCATAAACTAAATGCTATTGTTCTTCATTCTTGTGTGCTATTCCACGGTGTGACTGGACTACAATGTACATGTCCATTCTGTTTGCACATACAGCTTGCTTCCAAATTATGCACTCAGGCTAGGATATATAACTCTTGTGTTTCATCCCTGAGTTCTGGTCATTGTGGGGTCATTGCAGCAATCAATTACTCCCCCACTTCCTGCACCTTGGTCCACCCACCTCTGAACTAGGAGAAATAAATCAGGTCAGGAGCTGTAACCTCGTGGGTCCACCTAGACAGGGACTGTTTTGTGTGTCTCTCTGTGCAACCAGCTGGGTCCTGTGTTCTGTGCACATACATGTGCTCACCTGCAGGCGGCCAGCCATGTGTTTGGCAGCCCCCCACATGCATGCCTGCTGATCTGTGTCTATCTGGGCAGCAGATGCAAGGGGGAGGGGAGAGTCTTAGCTCACACATCCAAGCAACACCATGAGCTGTTGCTTCCAGCTTATCTTAAAATAGCAACAGTGAAGAAACCAGGCCATGCTGGGCCCTGGGGGAGGGACGAGTGGAAGGTGGCAGGGGAATGGCTCAAAGCCCCTACCCATCCCTGTCCCTAAGCCTCCATCTCCCTCCAGCCCTGGAGGGGAGTCTCCAGGACTCTCTCTGGGGTCCTGCCATCCAGTGGAGCCAGACACAAAGGAGAGAGGGATAAATGGGTTGCCGGTGTGCTGTCTCTCCCTCTGTTCCATCCAGTAACAAATGGTGGCTGTGCAGAGGCTGCCAGGTGCTGGGGGAGAGGCACAGAGAGCCTAGCGCATTGGCTCCCTACACTTCCAGCTTTGGGTGATGATCAGGAAGGATTTCACCCCATCTCCAAGGTGATCCAAATAAAAGATTTAATTAAAAATTCCTGCACTGCCAACCCTTCCTTGCCTTCTCCCATGCCAATCAGCCAGAGGCTCACCAGCATAGATTTTCGGGGTATCCCTGCTGTCCTCACCAGCCTTGCCCTTCTCTACCCACAGCCAGAGGAAGTGGCCCAGGAAGCTGCTGAGGAGCCACTAATTGAGCCCTTGATGGAGCCAGAAGGGGAAAGTTATGAGGAATCACCCCAGGTGAGGGGGTAGCAGGGCTGGGTGGTCTCTGGGCATTCAGGATGATTGCTGCCAATTCGAGCCCTGGTGGGTGGTCCCTCCCATGATAAGGGTGAGACTTGAGCTTGGATCCTTGCCGCTTTAGAACCCAAGCGGCACGGAGGGGATAACAGATGGGGCCTAGAAGAGCTGAGGGAACCCAGCTGTCCCATCTCTAGGTCCCTCCAGGCCTAAGGGGAGGGGCTGCATATCCTCCGGAGGGATCAAGCATCCAGGGTTGGCTGTTGGTCTCCAACCCCCTTCCCTTTTGCTCTTCTCTACCCCACTTACCACTCTGATGCAGGAGGAGTATCAGGAATATGAGCCAGAGGCGTAAGGGACCAGGACGGCCCCCACCAGCAGCACAATTCCTTCCCAGCCCCTGCCCCACCCTCCCAGAGCCAGGGCTGTCCTTCTACCCTTTCCCCAAAACACGAGATCTTCCGTCTCCAAGGCGCCCCTTGGAGCCTGTTGTCAGTGTCTTTCCGTCTGTCTATTCTACCTGCCCGCGTCCAACCCTGGGGCATGGACTGGGCCGGGGCTTCCGCCACGGCTAGGAGCCTTGACCACCAGTGCAGCCCCTCTTGGTCCCACCTGTCCAGTGTCCGTGCGGATGTAGCATGTTCTATGTATTTTTAAACGAAGATAGAAAAGTGACAGCTCCTCCAACACCCCGACAGAGGCTCTCCAAGGGGCCCCCGGGCAGCCCCAGAGCACCCCACCACACTCCCCACATCGACCCCAAGAATATTTTTTTTTAAACCAAAACCAGGAGCCAGGCTGTGCCACGCCCCTTCCCTCAGCCGGCCCTGTCCGAGCGCGGGCATCGTGTGTTGTGATTGTGGCATGGAGAGCCCCCTACCCCATCCCGTGTGAGCGTGTTCCGGGCGGGCGGGCCCGGCCGTCCCACCCGCGTGTGTCCATGAATAAAGCCAATCTGTCTGTAGTCAGCGCCGCAAGGGCAGGGCTGAGCGCCTGGTGGAAGAGGCAGGTGGGCTTCCTCGTCCCGCAACGGCTCTCTGCTCTTTGGGGTCTGCCACACGCCACCCAAGTATAGGACTGACTACCTGGACCTGGACTTCTCCATCTTCTACTCTTCATCCAGGCCCAAGACCTGGAGGGGCAGAGGAGGGTCGCCTTTGGGTTGGGATGCAGTTGACTGGGAGGCGTAAAGGGGGCGCCACCTGCTGGGCTACAACGCGTTTATTAGGTACTACACCAAGGGAAAGCCCCGCGCTGCACAGGCGGGGAGGGGGGGGGGATGGGCGGGATGCCGCGCGTGCATGTACGCGGGCCCTCAGGCGCAAGCCCGCGTGGACTTTCCCGGGCCAGCGCACACGTGCAGACACGCGGGCTCTCAGTTCCACATGCGCCTGGAGAAACCTTCAGAAATCAGCCGTGCTGGCACAGAAAGGCTCCGTTACACGCTGATTGATCTCTTCCCGCTGCAGAACGTGTACACATACACATACCTACCCACACCTGCCCAACGCAGAAAAACTCAGAAAGGGAAGGGGAAAAGGACAGAGGTCTGGTACGCGGTGTTCAACTTCTAGAAAGGCGCGAAAGTTTGAGTTCTCGGATGAAGTGGGTCTGCAGACCTCTCAGAAGGCGTCCAAGAGTCTTGAGCACACCAGGATCGGCACTAGGGGGCCCCCAACACCGCCTCAGAGTGAGGAAGAAAGGGACTAGGCAATCCTGCGGGTTCTGCGCAGACGCCCCGCTCCGGGCAGAGAAAAACCGCTGCTTTATTGGCTCAGAAGCTCCCACTCCGGGCCCCGCCCCCTGCGCGGCGCCCCGCCCTCTTTCGCTGCAGATAACGGGCCCTGCCTTGCAGGCGTCTGGCAAGGTTTTGCCGCAGAGGCTCCCAGCCTTGCCTGCGAAGACCCACCCTCACATCCCTCAGCCAGGACCCGGTGCCCAGTTCTCAACCCTTCCACCCTAAAGCTGCAAGATGCTTGCTCTGTTTACTCAACCCCCAAGCATCGGCGCCTCCTCCCCGGGATTGGCGGAGGCGAGGCAAGGCGATTCCAAGCCTGGAAAGGCCTCCCACATGGCAGGAGACCAGTCTGCTCGGGTCACCTTGGCCTGCAGTGTGTGTGTGGTGGTGGGGATTCTTTATTTCCGGAAGCAGGAAGCAGCTGGCCGATGAACAGCGGGAGCTGTGTGCATGTGCGGGTCAGCGTGTCTGTGTTTAGGGAGAACAGGTGGGTTTAGATTCTGTGATTCCAGTGACTTTGGAGCAGCTTGAAATCCCTTTGGGCTGAATTAAGTCACTATGTGCAACTCACAATCCTTAGGGATGGCAAATTCAAGACCCGCTGAATTGGGCCTCTAGGTACGTTTCATTTGCTGCACCAGGTTTTAAAATTTTAAAATCTGAATACCTTTGGGCTGTGCACACCTTTTCCAGTTGGCAGTGATCCCTTGGTCCCTTTCCCTCCTTACTGTATTAGACATATCCACTTACTTCATTTTCATGAACTGCCTGCCCTCTAAAGAAGAGTTTGTGACTTCCAATCCAGAAACCACACCTGATCCCCATTTTTAGATGCCAAAACTAGGTTTACCACCTGGCCTAAGGGGAGATTTATTCTTCCTTCCCTAGTGCCAAGTCCTACACCTGGCCCCACTGTGCATGGTTCTGCTCAGAGAGCAATGTTCTCATCTGTCAGGTTCACTTTAAATTCATTCCAGGCACAGGCCCAGAAGTGTCAGCAGAAGATGTCGGCCCTGTGTCAGACGGCAGTGGGTGTGTAAGGTCACACAGCTCATGGGCTCCTCCCACGTGACAGGCACAGAGCCAGTTCCCAAGTGACCAGTATATCCCGGGCATATGGTACTTACGCCATTCACTTCACTTGATACCAACTGCAAGAATTGCTTGTTGTGAGGCCCAATTTATAGATGAGGAAGTGGGGATTGGAGAGGCAAAACTACCTGCCCTAGTCACACTGGCGGGAAGGGGCAAAATCCACTCTGAGCCCCAAGACTGACTCCAAAGCATAATGTCTTTGGAATTTTCACAATAGGCGTTCTCTAGCTTTGAAGAGAGACAAACAAAGGAAGCACCCCCACAGTAGGACACACAGAGGGCTGCAATGTGAAGATTCCAGACACTTGTGCAATATCATGAAGACTGGGAGCAACACTGTGTGTGTGTGTGTGTGTGTGTGTGAACGAGCTGTGTGCACACATCTGTGGTGTGGGCATGGGTATGAGCCATGTGCGTGTCAGTGTTCGTGTGTGTACACAGATGCTACCCATGTGTGTTGTGTGCATTCACTTAGTCATCTGACAACGTGTGTTATTACACATCTGCCCTGTTCTCAGAAGTGAGTGACTTCAGGGAACTGGCCTGCAGGCTGATGGTCTTGTCATCTTACCTCTCATGGATCGCAAAACGATCAAGATAATTGCGAGTTTCATGAAGAACATAAAAAAATGTGGTAGAGTTGTAGGGAGGGAGGTGGTGAAAACAACATTAAAACAGGGTGGCTGGGTCAGGTATCTGAGGAGGTGAGTGGACCCTGAGCCTGCATGGAAAGAGGGTGGAGTGGGGCATCTCCAGAAGACCAAGTACTGCAGGTAGAGGAAATGCCACCTCTGAGTTTGTGTGCCAAAGTGTGATCAGCGAGGCTGAGGCTGGTCAGGGGGCCTTCAGAGGTCCGTGCTCCCAGGTCCACTCCTACTGGTTCCTACTTTCTCTTCCTTTGCATGTGTCCTTTCTTCCATCAGGGCAAGCTGCCCTCAACTCTGCTTGTTTCAATCTTTCCTTCTTGCCACTACTCATTGGACCAAAAGCAATTTTTTTCTCACCACCCTTCTGCTGTTCAGATGCACACAGAAACCCCTATTCCACCCATCAGTACTCAGAACCCTTGCTGGATGGCTCACTGGAAAGTAGCCCTCCCCTTAATGAGGACTGGGGGCTGTCCTCATGTCCCCCCCACCATTCATCTGCCTGTCTACCCCCCCTGCCCAGTAATGCAGCTTCCTGGCTTTCTCTGGTACTTTATTTTTGTTTTCTCCCTTCCCTATTTATAGCTCTCTCCCCTCCAAACCATCCCTGCATCTATCCCGTTGCCTAGAAACAAGCTCTAGGCTGAGGCTGGGGGAAGGCCAGACGGAGCCCAGGCAGGGGGAAAGAAGGAGATGTCACCCACTCCCCTAACAGCCCACTCTGCCCTCTGTCCATCACCCACAGATATTTTTTAAAGAATAAAACAAATGTGAACAACACATATTCACAAAGAACATCTTCCAGGCTTCTACATGGCATGGTGAGTGTGATTTCACTCATGCTTCTTAATAGTCCCCCCTGCCTGAAGTGTTTTCAGATGAGGAAACTGAGGCTTCAGGAAATAAAAGTCCTACAGCCAAAGCTTTCTCATCAGAATCTCCATGGTCTGAATTTGAAAGATTTGAAAGCATAAGTAATTCTATAATCTATTAATTGGAGGATGGTAAAGGAAAATGTATCTACAGTTCTGCCACATACCAAGCCACTAGTTATGCCTCAGCCATGCCCTCTTACGTGTCCCTGAAGTTCCCCTGCCATGGCCCAACCATACTCCTGCAGTACCACCACCGTGTCTTCCCCTGGCCACCACTATATACCCCACCTGCCCCCCATCATGCCCTCACCCTGACCAACTGCAAGTCCACAGACTGGAGCTAGAAGATGGAGCTTTACTCCTAGTTCTGTCATTTCACCAACTGTGTGACATTGTTCTAAGCATGCAAACTTTGCCCAGCTCCAAAATCAGCAGGCTAATTTCTACTCCTTAGGGCTAATAGAGAATTTAATAACTGTAGAGTGCTATAAACGTGAGTAATCAACTGGAATAGTTAATATTGTTATTGTTGATTATATTATTAGGGCCAAGAGGCAAGGAAAAGGAGCTCAAATGAGTTCTGGGATTAGAGGGGAAACCCCTGGCCTGTGTCTGGAGAAAGGACCCCTTTTCCTGGCAGAATAAAGATCATGGGTTGGGGCTACCTGAGAAGCCCTATTGCACTTTCTCAAGTGTTTATCCCCTCTGTCCTCCCCCAGCCTCCCCAAAAGCCCACCTCTGCCTTCCAAACAGGCTTTCTGGGCAGAATGGGGGAGGGGCTCCTAAGGAGCAGCTGGGCCATGATTCAGCCTGAGTCACCCATCCAAATTCTGGGGCCGCCCCCAGTTGGGCCAGGGCCTGCAGCTGCTGGGAGTAAGGGTGTTGCAAAATGGGAGGGCATCTTTGGGTATCAGGCTGTGCTCATGCATGCTCAGGCCAGGGATCATATGATCCCAAGCCAGCACGGTGATGGCTGGAGGCCATACAAGGAGGTCAGGGAGGGAAAATAAATCCATGCGCCTCAGATAACTATCTGCACTGACTGAGGAGGCAGGGGTGTGTGTGTGTGTGTGTGTGTGTGTGTGTGTGTGTGGTGCTACAGGTGTATATGAGTAGGGCGAAGGTATAGCTGGAGTGACTCCCAACTCGGCCTCTTTCTATTTCTTTGGCCCTGGCAAGTTACTACTTTCCTGAAGGTCAGGCAATCTGTTTCTTCACCTATGCAATGGGAATATTTACTGTGTCATCACTGGTGGTTTTTCTTAAGGATAAAATATGGTGACTATAGAACACATAGGAGCCAGTAAATGGCACACTGTCATTCCATCATCTCAGGTATCTTGGTTATGCACTGCATTCATGAGGACAGGTGCATAGCTGAGTGTCTATGCAAGTCCTAAGGGGTGCCAGGGCTTTCTTGAAAGTGTGTAAATGTGCATTGAATATATCCCCCTGAAGCACAAGAACTTTATAGAAAGTTGGGTTTACACGGTATTTTACCAGTGCTCACACACATACACACAGAGCATATACCTTCCCAAGGGAATGGAATTTGCTGAAATTCAGCCTGGACCAGGACCAGTGTAAAGGTGAAGGGATCCAGAACTATGGATACAGTTGTGTTGGGATCCTGGACCTTCTCCAAAGCTCCAGCTTCCAGCTGGAATGGGAATAACTGGCCAGGCCAGGAGGGTGGGCCAGATTGGTTTAATGGGATGGATATGAACATAATATAGTCAAGAGAAGGTGGGCTAGCGTGGGACACAGAGTGTGAGTGTGTGTGTGTATGTGTGTGATCACAAAGATGCACAGGGTGGCTTTGGGGGCTGGTTGCCATCTCTGCTCTGGTACAGTCTGCTTGTCTCCATGGTGCCTGTTGCCACACACGCTTGCTTTTCAGAAAGTCACTGGGATTGTTTATTCCACCCCCGGCCTGGGCGCCAGCCAAGGAGCAGCAGGCACTTGTTTATCTTCTGGTACGTACGAGTGTGTATGGTTCCCCGGCGGCAGACCAACCCGAGACAGGCACATGTACACGCTCACATGGGTGTGGGTGGCCATGTTGATTGTCACAAGGTGAGCTAAAACCCCAAGCCCAGGCTTACTTTCTCCACATAGGAGCAAAGATGGTCCTCCAGCAACTACAGATGCATCCTCAATTTGGTAACCTCCAAAGTTCCTCCAGGAGAGTGTGAGAACCATTTTCCCATGTTTGGTCCCTGAGCCCCCCCACACCAGAATGAATTATTGGTCAGTGATTGACCAGGCCTGAGTCACCACCTGCCCGAGGAGCTGGAGTGGGATTTGTGCCCTACCCCACCACATAAATGAGGCTGAGGAAGTGGTCCCCCAAGGAAAGTGGAGATCTGTGATCAGAAAAGGGTTCATGGGCTTCACTTGGCATTCCCCACAAAGAATACCGTACGTAAAGGACTTGTTTTTTTTTTTTTTTTTCTTTCTCCGAGTTCTGGAAGCCTAGTGCTGTACAGAGAGACCTCAACTAAGGTCACCCAGCTAGTAACTGACATCTAAGACTTATGCCACACAGACTGCTTCTCTGGTCATTTTGAGTTCTTCCTCTGCCTTAGCAAGTGTTTTGTTTTGTTGTTCAAAGGTTTCCATTTTAAAAATTAGTATTGCCAACAAATCCCTTTGTAACAAGAGTGGTCAGAGAGCATAAAAGAGAACGAGAAGAGACCCTGACTACACCCACAGACCAGACACAGCCAGACTCTGTCCACATCCCCTTGAATCCTTTGATTATTTCTGGGCCCAATAGTAGGATTTCAAACAGCGAGCGCCTGGATTTTTGTCAAAGAGATGCTCTCCAGCTGCTGGAACCCCCTCCCCATGCATTGTGAGTCAGAAGTGTCACACAGCCCCTTACAACACATCCCAGGGATAGCCATTAAGCAACGTCTTCCAAATGTTGGGATCTGCACACCCAAGGACCCTTGCCCTTGTCTGGAAGAACTCTAAGGTGTGCATTTACCTTGTTTTGTACTTCCCTGCAGACTTAAGCATCACTCACCCACTGCAGTAGCTGTTGTAGTAACGACCTCTCATTGGCTGCTTTCCCTCCCTGGGCCATCTTTCCTCTCCCCTGCTGGTGTCCTTCAATCTCAAATATAAATCACACACCTGCAGTTTCATCTTGGCCCTGTGAGCTACCCCAGGAATCTGGATCTCACCTTTTCTTCCACCATGAACATCTAAGCCAAACCCTTGTGCTCATCCTCACTAGCACCTTCCTTTCCCCTCCATCCTGCCCCTTCCTATCAAGATTGCAAATCCTTCAAGTCTCCCATGCTTTAACCTTCCATCTCCCTCGTCAGACCGCCCTCCTTTTTTCCCTTCAGAACCCAAACATTTCAAGAAAAGAGTCTACTTTCTACTCCACTTTCTTACTACATTTAGTCCCCACCCTGCCCACCACTGAAGGTCGGCCTTCCACTCCTGCACTCCACTGAAGGTGTGCTTATCAAGTGCGTGGTCGTGTCTCAGTGTTCTCCAAAGCCTCATGTGATCATAGGTGGTGTTTTTCAGAGACAGCTGGGATCCAGAATGTGTGATGCTGGGATCAAGGGTGTGTGATTACTAAGTTAGTCCATTGACTGGTTTGGTATAGCTCTGGGTATGGACAATGGGAAGGTCTATCTTGGGTGTGGGTGCTACCCAGGCTAAGGGCATGTAACCTGGACAGAATATAAGGGACAGAAAGAGGGCTGCTGTCATCATTTGCTGCTTCTTAACTACATCATGGCTTTACTGTCTTTTCCCCCACCATGAACTGTTTCTCTCTGCCACACCACCCTGCCTCAGAGTTAGCTAACTGGGTACTGAAACCTCCACAAACTACAATAAACCTTTCCTACTTGGGTGTCAGCTATTTTGTCTCAGCAATAAGATAGTAACCAAGACATCAAGCTTCCTTTTCAAACCCGGGCAACACCTTGTAGGCCACATTTTGCCTTCCTGATATGGCTGATACTGTCCTCCTTCTGGAATATTCTTTCCTCTTTGCTTTGAACCATCACTCTTTTGGGCTTTACTGGCCTCTCAACCTGCTGCTTCTCTTTCTTCCTTGCATCTCTCTCTTCCTGCTCAGTCCCTTAGTGCTGGTGCTCCTCAGGACGGCCCAGGGCCCTGTGTTTCCCTCTTTCGTTTATACTCTCCCTCCATGTGCCAGTATCCCACACACGACCTCCTTCACCAGCTCTCAGTTGGTGGGATTCCTAGTCTGACTTCAGCTGTGGCTCAACTCTGCACTTCCATGCCTCAGTGTGACCATCCGACAAGCCCTTACTATTCCCAGGGTTCATAAGGTGTACATCTTCCATACACCTGGCTCCTCAAGGCAGACCTCCGGGGCAGCAGAACCCTCTCTTTTTTCCTACCTACACCCATGCCTATTGGTATTTACCCCAAAATAGCACTGAGTCTTGCCCTACTTCTCCATCCCACCAGATGCTCTTGTGGCTGTTGTTTTCATCCCTCACCTGAACAACTGCCAGAGCCTCCTCGTACATGTGCTGTCTTTACCCCAACACTCCTCTGGCCCAAGTTGAACTTGTTTTGGTTCTTGCTACTTTCCATGTCTTGTGATCCTTCCCAGGCCTCAATTTATTCACATGTGTCGCCGAAACAATAGTGTTATTTTTGAGGCTGGAGAGGGAGGAAGTGAGGAATGAGGGATATAGTCGGTAAACTCTGAAGCTCAGGGCCACTGTGGGCAGGGAGTGAAACATTTTTAGGATCAGAGAGACACTAGGACGCCGCCTGGTAGTGTTGCTGTCCGTGGTCCTGAAAGTTGGCCCATCACCCTGGTTTTCACTTTTCTTTGGGATGTTGGGGGAAGACGGTGGTTCCACTGATTTTTCTTCACTTGCCATAGAGGTTTTAAAAAGACTTAAAGTCTTTTTAAAGACCTTAAAGGTCACAGTGACTTATAGTTCACCGATAAGGGAGAAAAGTAAAAACAATAAATAAGCATGAGGCCTGCAGGATTTAAATTTCGTAAATTTGTAATTCCAGCTGCACTATCAACTAACTGTGTGACTAAGAACAAGTTACTTATCTATATCTGTTTTTTATCTGAAAAACCGTGGGTGTGATACTAATGCTAACATTAACTTGTTCCCGGGTGATTGGAAATTGAAATTAGATGGAACCTGAAACAAAATCTTAGCACAATGTCTGCACCTAATAAAAGTTTTATTAGCATTAGTTGTTATCATTTTTAGTAGGGGGTTCATAATACAGGTGCGAATGGCTTTTATCACCTTCAGGACAATTATTGTTATTTTCTATGGGAAATCTAAGGAAGAGAAAAAAGGAACATTTTTCTGCTGTGCAATCTGGAGGGAGTGGGCAGTGAGTTCTCATGTCTTGGGCAATTCAGATTCAATTGGAAGCCCCTGAACACGTCCTTCACATTTCAGGTGGTTAATGTTAGTCCTATTTTCAGATAGGGAAACTGAGGCTCAAAGAGGCGACCTGACTCGCTCGAGGGAATCTACCAGGAGAAGGCTCGCACATACTGGAGGGAAGGCAGGTGCCCTGCATGTGGAGCCCGGCAGAGGGAATGGAAGGTGCCTCTCCCGCAGCACCGCCGCTCTGGTCCCCGCCACTCGCCGGCGCGTGGGCAGCGGCGAGACAAAGGGCCGGGGGCGGGGCGGGGCGGGGCGGGGCGGGGGGAGAAGGCCGGAAGTGCAGCCGAGGGGGAGGCGGGAAATTTCCTCGCAGAGGGAGCTTGGAGATCGCAACGCCCTGGGTCCCCTCGCAGGCGCCGCACGTTGTCAGACGAGTGGCCGCATCTCTGAGCAGCAACGCCCTCCTGGGAAACCGCGAGCGTCTGCGGGGCTCTCCTGGTTGCGATCCAAGACAGCGCGCCCGGCCAGGCAGGCGCGCCGCAAATGGGCAGCCTCTCCGCCCCTCAGTCTCCTGCTCCGTGAAATGGGAGCCAATTCGAGAAGGGCAGGGACTCCGGGAGTCCAGGGGCCGCAGGCACAGGCAGGATGAGGGGCCTCAGGTAAGGGGCGCCCCTCCCTCCCTCGGCTGCTGGTCCCGCCGGCACCGCCCCCTCCCGGTTCCGAGGCTGCCAGCGCGCATGCCCGGGGCGGGGCGCGGGCGGGAGCGCGGAGCGGGCTCGGGGGACAGCGGCTCGGAGTCCGCGGGTCCGCCCGGCAGCCCGGCCCTAGCAGCCGGGGCCGCTCGGGCGGCGGCAGCGGGAGCCAGAGCGCGGCGACGAGGAGCCAGAGCAGCGCACCGCCGGTAAGCCCCCGCCCTCACCTGCAGCTCGGGCCCCGGTGCTCTGGAGCCCGCTCGGTCGGCAGCCGCTGTCCAGGGTCCTCGGAGCCGCCCCCACCCGCGCCAGCTCCGCACCGCGCGCCAGGTGCCCAGGTGTGCGTTGCGCGCGCGGCCGGGGGCGGCGAGTGTCCGTTTCCAGGCTCCTCGCCGGGGCTGGGCGGGGCGGGGGCGGGTCCCGCAGCTGGGCCGAACCCCCTAGAGGCCCTGAGGGCCAGGCCGCCCGGCTTTATAGGACTGGGGCCCCGCGTCCGGCCTCGCGGTGGTTGAATGCTTTGTTTCACTCGGCAGTGCGGAGGGGGGCGCTTCCCGCCACCGGGGGGAGGGGTCCACCCGCGTTGATTCATCTCCTTCCTGGAGCGAGCTCAGCGCTCGAGTGGCTCTATTCGCACCACTGAACACACTCGCTGTTGCACAAGCAGTGTGGCACACACTCCGGGACCGAGTAACACACTCACCGCATTCACACACGGAGAACCTCATCCTCGGGCGAGGCCAACAGGTCTTACACAAACACACACGCACGCACACGGTATGGCCCTTGGTCATTCCATCAGAGTCATAAGCGTGGCCACCTGTGTATTCACCCAGGGCACCAGGTGGGAGACTTGCATACACACCCGGGCACAGCCCCACACTCACAGCAGCCGTTGTGGATCATAGCATACTAACAATGGTTCTTGATCAAACACTCCCACAGCCACTCCTGCAGCCTACTCTGACCTGTTCACACTTCTCATGGTGTCCCTCGTGGACAGATGAACAGATGGGCGGTGTCCTAGGGCAGTGGTGGTGGACCTATGGCATGCCTGTCACAGCGAGTGGTTCTTATTGTTGAAAGCTCTAAAAGTTTCTCCATCACTGGCCTTCTGTGGAAGGTCTGTCACCCTTTGCTACTCTGCTTCTCTCCCTACAGCCCCAGGCAGGAGACTTTGGTCCTTTGAAGGCCCTAGGAGAGGAGAGAACAGGGGGCAGCAGACGGATTTTCACACACACTCACAGACACATATGCCTGCCAAAACCTCATAAGCCTTTATCTGTCTTGTTACCATGGGAAGAGATGCTTGCAGGTGCTTGGCAGCTCTGGCTCTGGATTGAGTGTAGGGATGGCTCCAGACTGGGAAGAAATCCTAGGGAGAAAGGAACAAGCTAGCCAAGGCTCAATGCATTCACATGGGCTGCTCTGCCTGCAAGTGAATGGTACTCAAGTGTCTGCACCCATGCCCAGGCCACCTCTTCCATGAGTGGAACTGCAAGGCTATGTGGCCACACATGTGTACAGTCACATGGTCCAAGTGACTCCCTTAAGGTAAAAACATATTCAAGGGCCGTTTCACACACAGCACAAACATGTATCAAGTTTTTCCTTGAGCAGAAAACTCAGAAGCCAGATCCTGGCCCCAGACTGACCTAAGGTGGTGCAGACCTCCACAAGTAGTCTGCTCACTTCCTTACACACCAAGTGAACCACCCTGTATATAAGGGTTATTTCAATCTTCTACTTCAGTTAGGTCACATTCAGCCAACTGTATACAGGCTCATCTGTTCGTAGGATGTGTGTGTTCCTGCAGATGGGTGTATATGAATACAGGGACACTTGCTTCCTCTACTATGTGCTCCCTGGCCTCTGGGGTCCATGAGATTAAGCGGTGCCTTGGCCTGACCTCCAAGAATAGAAAGAGATTTTAAGATCCAAATCTTACTGTCCAGATCTTGGCTGACATGACTTTGAAGAAACCAGACTTTAGGCTCAGACACATCTGACTTTGAACAACTCCTCCACTCCCCAGCTGTATATTCTTAGCCAAGTCTTTGCTTCTTCTGGCTTCAGTGTCCTCACGTGTGGGATGGGATGGTAATGCCTCCTTCATGCCATTATTAAAGTCCAGGTGACAAAATAAGCCTGAGGGTGGTGGGCCCAGAACTAAACATGCAAAGGGGAGGTGATGTTCCCGAAGGAGGATGGGAAGAGAAGAGATGGAACCAGAGACCCAGGCTGTATTTGTGTGGCTGAAAGGTACTGAGGTTTCATTTAGAGCCAAAAAGGGCCTGATGGAACCATGAGGAACAGCACTTCTGCATTGTTTTCTGGGCAGATAGCCCTCATTTCACAGATTGGGAAACTGAGGTCTAGGCTGTAGGAAAAAATCATGCAAAGTCACAAATCACAGCAGTAACTAAGCTGAGACTTAACCCCACATCTTTCTAACTCCTGGATCAGGCTTGTAACCCTGCCCCGGACCTGATCCCTTCTCAGCAGCTGAGAACTTGGAGCTGGAAACTTGGAAGCCAGCCTCTTCCAGGGAGGTTTGCAAAGGGGAAACATGACCAGCTGGGCCATGCCTGTCTCTCAGAATCTCAGTTTCCTCCTCTGTAAAACAGGAATGTAACACCTGCCAGGAAGATATACATTGTCTTTGCAAGGATGTCTTCTGCTTTTCTTGGCATCTAGGTCAAGGGTCAAAACTGAGGCGGCAATAGGCCAGGAGAGTAATATACATGAGGGGATGGATTATGCAAATGCAGTGATTTGTTGTCATTGTTCTTTGAGACAGGGTCCTGCTTTGTAATTTAGGCTGGCTTTGAACTCAGTGATTCTCCTGCTTCAACATCTTCAATGCAGGAGTCATGGGTGTGCGCTACCACACATGGCTACAAATGCAATAACGGAGGGCAATAGTCAGCCTCAGGAACACCCATAGGAAGGAGGGAGGATTGTGGCTGATTGGAGAGTCCGCGCTCATCTCAGGAGGCCCTTGGAGGCTCTAGCTGGCTGTTGCTATGCAGGAAGCTCACATTGCCAAATTTTAGCTTCCCAGATTTGTACAAAACCTGATTCTCACACAAAGTCTTCTAGTTGTTAAGTATTGATCAGTCAGAACATGCCTTTATTTTAAATTGACTTTTTTGTTTTTTTGGTACTGGGGATCAAACTCATGACCCCACATTTGCCAGGCAGACGCTTATACCACTGACCTAAATCTGTGGCCCGTTTACATTGACTTTTAAAAAATTATTTTTGACCGGGGATTTAGCTCAGTAGCATAAGCGCCTGCCTGGCAAGCGCTAGATCGTGAGTTCGATCTCTGATACAAAAAACAAAACAAAACCCATTATTTTAGCACTCTGGGTCACACAGGCATTCTGAAGGCCAGATTGTGCTAGTTTGAGTCTGCTGCAGGTCCTCTCCCCCTGCTCCCTCCTGGGAGCACAGCTGGGTTCTGACAGGCTGAGGAGATAAACACAGGCCTTCCATGTACACAGCCCAGCCCTATGGAGAGCAGAGCTATGTACACCCTTTAATTCTCACAGCAGCTCTGGAGGAGCACAGGGTGGGCCCTTCAGGGTCCCCAGTGAGAGGCACAGAGCTGCTAAGGTGGTGAACCGTCCCGGGCCTCCCTCCCAAGGGACAAGCTTATTGGTTGGATGTGTTGGGAGGACCTCAGAGCTGGGCCACCAGGGCTGGAATGAAAGGTTGTAAGCACCAAGAACACCTCTCCTACAGCCGTTTTCTGAGTCCTCTGCACTGCTGCTTAAATTTCCTAGCCTGTCAGATTGCTGCTTTCCAGAGATGGAAACGAAGGCAAGCGTGGCAAACAGATCTCAGCTTTTAGCAGGAACGAGGCCCCTTCTGTTGCCTTCTGCCCAGTCACCCTGGCTTCTAACAGGCTTTTCCATAGATCACAGGTCACAAACCAGAGACCTCAGGTCAAAGTTGGCCTACAAGAGTGTTTTGTTTGGCCTGCATGTTATTTTAAAAATGAGCCAACTCTGGGAGGCTGGGGCAGGAGGATTGCAAGTTCAAACCCAGATTGGATAACCAAGCAACTTAGTACAACTCTATCTCAAAATAAATCTTTAAAAGGCTTAGAAATTAATGATGTAGCTCATTGTAAAGGCCCTGGGTTCAATATCCAATGCCACACACACACACGCATATGCACACACACACATACACATGCGTGTACACATACATACTCATGCATTAATTTTTAAAATTAAATTTTAATCTGGTTAAAAAATACCAGATTTATGACTTTGCTCAATAAATCGGGACACCTTGCCAAGCAGAAGCCATTCACTGCCCTGCTCAAAACATTCCAGAGGCTTCCCAGGTCCCTTAGGATAAGGGATTCCCCTACGCCTGCACGCCTGCTCTAATTCCTTCCTCCCTGTCCCTTCCTGCTGTAGTCCAGCCACTCTGGCCTTTTCACAGTGGGCCAGGTGCTGACCTCCTCAGAGAGGTCTTTCCTTTTTTTTTTTTTTTTTTTTGTCTTTTTCCTTTTTATCGGTACCAGGGATCGAACTCAAGACTGCCTGCTTTCAAGACAGGCGCTTATGCCGCTGAGCTAAATCCCCAGCCCTGAGAGGTCTTTCTTGACCACATGTCCAAACCAGCTGCCAACTCCTTCAAACACAGCACGCAGTATTTGAAATTATATCATTTGTTTGTTCCTGTTTTTATAGTCTTTCCAATCTTTCTGAATGTGGAATCAGAGGCCTTACATTCCTTACTCTCATGTCCCCAACCCCAAAAAACAGTGCCGAGACCATTGCATATGTACCTATAAATGTTGAGGTGAATTCTGTTTGGCCACCACTGGCGCCATCATGGGCAGGAATTGTGTGCAGTTACCCCTTTAGAAGGCACGAATACTCTCATTTGCCACGGTCCCCACCCCTGCCTCTTGTGCCCCTCATTCTGAGGATGTCAAGAGTCTTCAGTCACCTCCCTCGTACTATTGTTTTTTGTTTCATTTTGGGGTGTTTGTTTTCATTTGTTGTTTGTTTGGTTTTTGTTTAGTTTTCTTTTTGTTTTTTGTTTTTGGGGTTTTTGTTTTTGGTACTGGAAATCTAATGTTTTTCTAATGGGAGAAAAAATTATTCCTTTTCAAGTTGCTATCATAAGGCAAAAGACCAGCTGAACCACTCAAATCTGATGCCTTTCTGACTTCGGCTGATTGATGACTTCCAATTCCTCTTTTTTATGCTGGTGAAAGTCAGATCCAAAGAATTCCGGCCAAAATCTGTCTTGTGCTTCAGTTTGTTTCCCACCTGATTACTGAATCTCAATAAATCTCGCAGACACCCCAGGTGAACTAAAAAAAAAAAAAAAACAGACAGTACCCTGCCCAGCCTCTTAAAACAGTCTCTGCTCCTGTGTCCCCATCTTAATGCTGATTCCTGTCCTCCTACCCAGGTCTCAAGCTCAAAGCCCAGAAGCCCCAGCATTAAACAGTATTAATGGAGCTCTCTCTCTGGAACTCAAGGGGACTCAGAGGTGTAAATGGGTCGTGCAGAGTGATGGGATTCTGAATAGGCAAAGAACAGGAAGCCATGGGAACACAGAGGCAGCTCGTAGTCAAAGAAGACCCACAGAGGAGGAGGCATTTGCACGGAGACCTGAAGGTTTAGCAAGAAGTAGCCAGGCGAGGAGGGTGGGAGAGACTACCCCACCTGAGGCTGAAATGGCCATTGAATTCATGGACAAATGCAAAGAAGTGTCTCTATGGCGTGTGGTGTGTGTGTGTGTGTGTGTGTGTGTGTGTGTGTGTGTGTGTGTGTACATGCTCTGAGGGTAGGAATAGGTTGATAATGAAAAATAAATCCCAGCAGCAGACAGGGAGATAGGGCTTTAGACATACACTAAAGAGATGACTAAAGGCGATAAAGAATCATTAAAAGTTTCTATTTTTTCTTGTTGGTTTGTTTTGTTTTGTTTTTTGGTGCTGGAGATTGAACTCACTACTTCATGTTTGCCAAGCAGGCACTTATGCCACTGAGCTAAACCCCCAGTCCTGTTTTTTTAAGACGTAGTTATGTATCACATAAACATTTTGGTCACTGATAGACTGGTGTACACAGTGTTGGTCCCATAAGAATATAATGAAGCCATTGCAATATCTTAGCATAACATATTACATTTGTGGCAATGCTTGCATAGATAAATGTACTGTATTACCAGTTGAATAAAAGTGATCACAGGGCTGGGTATGGTGACATATACCTGTAATCCAGCAGGCTGAGGCAGGAGGATCACTGTGAGTTTGAGGTCAGCCTGGACTACAAAGTGAGTCAAGATCACCTGAACTGAATAGCAAGACCCTGTCTCAAAAAGACAAAGAACAAAACAGAACAAAAAACAAAGAAACAAGTATATCACACACAATCATGCATAGTACATAATTGTTGATTATGATGATACTGTAACAATGTTACTGGTTTTGTATTTAGTATACTGTATTTATTATTATTCTGAATCACACTCCTCCTACCTATTAAAAAATAAAGTTAAGCAGACATGGTGGTACATGCTTGTAAACCCAGACACTGGGAGGCTGGGGGAGGACTGCAAGTTCAAGGTCAGCCTGGAACGTTTATTGACTTAGCAAGACCCTGTCTTAAAATTCTAAAAGTTAATTACATTGCAAAAGGAATGAAAGAAGGGCATGCTGGAGTATGGCTCATTGTCCAAGCATGTTCAGGGTTGGGGGTTTAATCCCCAGAACTGAAACCAAGAAAGGGGTGGGCATGTAGATCAGTGCAGATGCTCAGGGTCCACGTTCAAGTACCATAATAAGTAAATAAATGAAAATAAAGTGCACTACAGGACAGTATGCTGCGTTACCCAAGCAGCAGGATCGCCCATGTTTTGTTTAGCACACCTCTTGGTGCATCAAAAGCCTGCACTGATATATATGAGGCAATCCTCCTACCTCAAGTGCTGGGGTTGTAGGTGTGCGCCACCTCGCCCGGTCCTATAACTGAGTTATTGATCCAGACCATCTATGTGCTTGTTTCTAAGTCCATTCTGTGATGTTCCTACAGTGACATAATCATCAACAAGACATTCCTCAGAATATATCCCAGTTCTTAAGCAAGACGTGACTCTACTTTGTACATGCATAGCCCAAATTTAAACATCACAAAGGGACATCCAAAGAAAGTGTCTCCCACTCTCAAATCCCCAGTCTTACTTCTGAGACACAACCACCACTAAAACTTTTGTGGGATTCCATGTGGAAATCTTCTTATAAATAAATCCATCGATATGTGTCTGATCTTCTGCTGGGCTACATGCATGAAACCCTAGAAGCTGTGCTGGACCCTATGTGTCTTTTTTTCATCGTCGAGCATCTTCCCTTATTGATCCACACATTTTAGCAGCTAGGTACTGCTCTGAGTGACTGTCCCACATGTCGCAGGCCCTGTTCCCTGGTTTTCTTCTCATTGCCAGCCAAGCGTCTCTACTCCTGGATGTATTAGCACTCTATTGTCAGGACCATCCCTAGAAGTGAGGTTGCTGGCTCCCATGTGTATTATAAACATTGATAGAAAATCATAAATGTCCTTCCAAAAAAAATTACAACCAACTTAATTTCCTAACAGGAATGAGGGGAGTTTTGAGCCAGGAGAAGTATGGTTGGATCTACATCTTGGAAAGATTATTCAGTCATTGATGTAATGAATATTTATTCAGAGCTTATTTACTGTGTTATTATTCTTGACTCTGGGGAACATATCAGCAAGCACAAGAATGTCTTCACCTTCCTGGAGCTGGCATTCTAATGAGAGAAACAAACCATAAACAGTGAACAAATGCATATGTAATGTCAGATGCTGATGGGTACTATAGAGAAAAACTCAGAGGGACGAGTGAACAGAGACTGCTACCCAGGGTTATGTAGGACTCAGCGAATGGATTACCAGACACTGCAGTCCGCAGCTCCCATCCAGCGCCACCTCCCAGCATTCTAGACGAAGGAAACATACAGGGTAAAGGCCCGGAGGCAGGGGCTGTCTAAAATCAGTGTGACAGCCACCAGTAGGGGGCTGAAGCAGCACGATGGAAAAGAGAGTAGTCAGAGAAAAGGCTGTAAGAGGTGATGGGGCCAGAAACTGCAGGGCCTTGGGAGTTACTGGGAGTTCGCCTGTACTTTGCATGAGATAGGAAGACACTGCATGGTTCTGAATGGGACATGATCTGCCCTGGGTTTTACTAAGACCCCTCTGGCTGCTGTTTAAGAATAACCTGGATGGGGTGAAGGTAAAAAGCAAGGGTAACCCAGTAAGAGGGAGTGAGGGTTAATCCAGGACAGTGGCCACCATCAAAGATAGATCCATTATATTTGGCTGACGGACAGGACTTGGGATATGAGGAAAATGTCACATCACCCTTGAGATTCTAGCCTGAGCACTAGCAAGATGACTTTGGAGTAGGTTTTGGGGGGGAATCAGGAGTTCTACTCACTTGCTCACCCCAGCTGCTGAGTGTGTAGTAGAATGAGGTCACCACAAACTGAGCTGGTCTAGAATGGGCCAAACTCTGACCTCCCACCAGCACTATCTCCCAGCAACCCCCACTAGCCGGTACCCTGCGGGCCACCTTCACCATCACCAACTACAGCTATTGGTCCTCGATGATTTTTTTCGGGACCCTTGATTCTGCTCCTGTATGTCTGGTGATCTCCAGGACATTTGCTGTGCCATTCCCACCTAGACTGTTTCAGCGGCCCAGGGCCTGCTGCAGAGATGGGGTATATGAATCAATGAGGATTGCTTGAATGAAAGATTGAATGAATTGCTGACCTGCCTCCTCATAGGTCTTGGCCAGTCCCTGTCCTATTCTGCCCAGCCTCCACATCATCCTAGAGAAATCTTTGCAAACACACACATCTGATGATGTCCTTGATTATAAACTGTTCACAGCTCTCTGGGGCCTACCCAGACATAACTAGGGCCTACAGACGTATTTTCTTTGACCCACATACTTTTTGGGTTTTTTATTTAAATCTTGAGTTAATTGGCATATTTTATGTTAAAGTCTGAATTTCCCACTTACTAGAAGAGCTAGGACTGTTAGGTTTCATTTCTCCAGAGCAGCATAGGTTCATGGAACCTGGGTCCCACTGAGACAGGGTGTGCATGCTGCAATTTGCTAGAGTCTACATGATTCCCTCTTGCTTTATACTCAACCTTCTTCCCTCACTTGAATGACTGATCTGGTCCCTATGCATTAGTTTGCAGCCTTGCCCTAGAGGCACATGCATAACTTCTGAGTAGCATATTGCATGGGGTAGGCTGCCAAGGATGGGGAGACAATAGGTGAACGGGAAAGGTCAGGCTGTCAGCAGTTGTGAGGAATGCCCTGCTATCCAGAGGGCTACTGGGAACAATGAAGCAGGGGACAGATGTAGTTACACTGATGCTCTTAGAACAAGCTCGGTGGACTGAAGAAGGCTGGACAGAGGCAGAGAACCCAGTGAGGAGGCTGGGCTGCTAGGCGAGGATGAACAGGAAAAGGCCTGCATGCAGGCTGCTCCCCCAGCAAATCTTCTCTAAGTCTGAGTCTGCTCTTGTTGTGTTTCAGAACCAGAAGGCAGCCCTGAATCAAGTTTGGCCATGAGGATAAATGAGCAGTGCTGAAGACCCAGCCTGGCTCCAGCTGCTTCAGAAGGACTCCAGCCCCTCAGAGCCCTTCTGCTGCCCCCAGGATGGGAGCCTGGGTGCTGGCCCGGCCATGAGGGAAGACTGCCCCTCCCAACAAAAGCCCAGCCCTGCACCCCTCAAGCACATCCCTGACCGAAGCCCAGGCATGGCCTCCAGACACAGTGACCCCAGTGGGGCTGGGGAAGGGGCCTCCTGCTCTGAGGGGCCTTCTAGGAGCTTGTCTTACCCTTCTTCTGTCTGCATCCCTCTCAAAGAGGCAGCCATCAAGGAGACAGTCGGGGCACATGAAGCCTCAACCTCAGGGATGCGAGAAACCACCTTGCCGGAGAAGCCAGACCCTGCATCCTCAATGGAAATTGATCCCATGTCCTCAGAGAGCAGAAATCCCATGCTTTTGGAGAAAAGGTATTCCAAGTCCTCAGATCAGGCTGATTCCACTTCCACAGACAAGGAAGATGCTGGGTCATTGGTGAAGTCAGATACCATGCTGACAGGAAAGACAGGGGCTGGGATCTCTGGAAAAGGGCCTCCTGTGGCTCCTGGAAGGATAGATCCCACGACTCCAAGGAAGGGGGATCCTGGACCCTTAGAAAAAGTAGACCCGGTATGCTCCAGTGAGGTGGACACAGTGTTACTAATGAAGGAGGATCCTGGGTCTTTGACAAAGATAGACTCTGTATCTTCCAACAACATGGATCTCACATCTCCTGGAAAGGAGGAGCCCAAGTGTTCTAGGAAAGAGCACCCTGTGTCCTCAGAAAAGGTGGGCAATGTGTCTCCTGGAAAGGTTGATCTTTTGTCCTTGGAAGAGAGACATTCTGGGCCTTCAGGGAAGGTGAATCCTGTTTCCTTGGAGAGCATAGGTTCTGTGTCCACAGAAAAGACAGATCCTGCACTTTTGGAAAAGCTGACTCCAGGCTCATTAGGGAAGACAGAGCCTATGTCCTCTGGGACAGCGACTCCTGCATCCTTGGGAAAGGTGGATTCTACACAACTGGGGACAAAAGAGCCTGCATACATGGACAGTGCAGAAACTGTGTCTTCTGTAAAAGAGGACACTCAGTTCCTGGGAAAGATGGACCTCGCCTCCTCAGGAGAGGGAGGTCCCATGATGATGGGAATGACAAAAACAGTGTCCACTGGACAGGTGGATCCTGTGTTTTCTGGAAAGATGGATCCCACATCTGTGAAAAGTGTAGATCCTGGGTCCTCAAGCAAGATGGATCCAGTTTCCTTGGCAAAGGCAGATCCCATGTCCTCAGGAAATCCAGAGCCCTTGCCTCCTGGACAGGCAGAACATGTGTCCATGGGGGAGACAGAAACTGTATGCTTAGGAAAGGAAGACCCAGTGTCCCCCAGAAAGGTGGGTCCCCCAACCATGGAGAGCATAAAACCACCACCTTCCGGGAAACTCAACCCCAAGCCTTCAGAAAAGACAGACTCTGTGTCCTCGGGTCCAGGGGATCCCAGGTCCCCAGGGTCCGAGGACCCCACATCAGCAATAAAAGCTGAGAGGAAAGGAGATCCACAGTCCTTAGAGAAGGCAGATCTCCCAGTTTCCAGCACAGTGGATCCTGAGACCAGGGGACAGGTAGAAACTGTCCCCTCTGGAGACATGGGCCCTGTGTCTTTAGAAAAGGTGGCCCCCACAACCACAGGAAAAACAGTCCTGGGGAAGATGGATCCCAGGAGCTCAGGAAAGATAGAAGCTGCCCCAGAAGAAAAGGTTGATGCCATTTTTCTAGAGAAGGAGAATCTTGGGAACTCCTCAAAAGGGGAAACCAGAGCTTTGGGGAGAGCGGAGCAGAAGGCTGGGGGCAAAGCAGACACAAAGCTCTCTGGGCACGAAAGTGCCTCATCTTCAGAAAAAGCAGAGATACCGTCTCTGCAGAAGGCGCAGCCACAGGCCTCTAAGAAAGTGGATCCTGTGCCCCCCGGAAAAGCAGAGCTCCTTGGGTCTGGGAAGGTGGAGCCTGTGTCCCAGGGGAAGGCTGACTCCGTATCTCCGAGGAAAGCAGAGTCCCTGTCCTCAGGAAAGGTGGTCCCTCCATCCCCAGAAAAGGCGATGCCCTCCTCTTCCAGGCAATCAGATAGCAAACCCTGCGGCTCAGCCCTGTTTCCTGGGGCTGGCGGGAGCAGTCATGTGGAGCCAGAGCCTGTCCCCAGCACCGATGCTTCCAGCCTCGGCAAGAAAGATCTGGCGGCCGAGAGAAGCCCTAGAGCAGAGGCCGCAGCGCCCCCACAGGGGCCACGGACTCGGGACAACTTTACCAAGGCGCCATCGTGGGACGCGAGCGCTCCGCCGCCGCGCGAGGACGCGGGGACACAGGCGGGCGCACAGGCCTGCGTGTCAGTGGCCGTGAGCCCCATGTCTCCGCAGGACGGCGCGGGTGGCCCGGCCTTCAGTTTCCAGGCGGCACCACGCGCACCCAGCCCTGCGCCCAGGCCGCCCTCGCGCCGGGACGCAGGCCTGCAGGTGTCTCTGGGCGCTGCCGAGACGCGCTCGGTGGCCACCGGGCCCATGACGCCCCAGTCTGCTGCTCCGCCCACCGCACCCCCTGCTTTCCCCGAAGTGCGGGTGCGGCCGGGTTCGGCGCTGGCAGCAGCCTTGGCACCCCAGGAGGCGGCTGAGCCAGTGCGCGACGTGAGCTGGGACGAGAAGGGCATGACGTGGGAGGTGTATGGCGCCTCCATGGAAGTGGAAGTGTTGGGCATGGCCATCCAGAAGCATTTGGAGCGCCAGATCGAGGAACACGGCCGCCAAGGGGCGCCTGCGCCTCTGCCCGCCACGCGCGCAGGTCCGGGTCGCGTGGGCTCGGTGCGCGCCGCGCCCCCGGAGGGTGCTGCCAAACGCCCGCCCGGCCTCTTCCGCGCGCTGCTGCAGAGTGTGCGCCGGCCGCGGTGCTGCTCGCGGGCGGGACCCACGGCTGAATGAGCTGTCTCCCTTCTGTACACCTGGGTCGTGAACTGTCTCAGGCTCCCTTCTAAATTCCAGGCCCCTAGAAGGGGTCTTCTCGGTTTGCGACAGAACTCTGAGGGGTGGGCAGCCTCTAGGGGCTTCTCCTCCCCTTCTTTCCCAAACACACAGATGAACCCCCCTCTACCCAGTCCCTTGGTGGTCATGAGCTCATAAACCCAGCCCTTGTTACCCCTCTGTGCCCTCACAGCTACTCTCTCTGTCACACTGGGAGAGGTGGGGACCTGCTAGGCACCCCTACTTCCCTCCCCCGAGAGCTGAGGCAGGCTCCTGAGATGGTCAGCCTGGAGTGTTGAGGACTCCAGGGGGCTGCAATCCGTAGAGCTGGGAAAGACTGCATGCAAATCTGTAAGTGAACCTCCATGTGTGCAAGGACTGGTGTGCAAGGCCCTAAGTGTGCTTAGCTGAGAATGTGAGGCCCTGGCGGCCGTGAGTTCCTGAACCGTGAATGTGAATGCATCTCCACACAGTGTGACAACCCCATGGGCAGGCGTCTCTTGCATGTTGTGGATGGTCCTTCCCCAAATCCCCTCTCCCATCCACCTGGCCCTGTGCCCCAGCCCTGTCTCCTCTCTGACACCTCCCTCCCCACCTTTTACCTCCCCACCCTCTCACTGGTTCACAATTCCCACAGGGGGCAAAGGCCAAGAAGCACCCTGGGGCCTCAGCTGAGGGACAGGCAGGAAGGACAGAAGATCTAAGACAGGAGTGGAGGCCACAGTGAGGCTCATACATGATCTCTGGCCACCACAGCCTGGGTTGATAGCTAGTCTTGGCTATTGGGGACAGGATGGAGTGCTCATTCTACAACACAGTTGTCCTTGAAACATCATCCTCTTCAGCTCCTTGTCCCCTCCGTGAAGTGAGCCCCTACAAGTCCCTTGTGACCACTCAGTACCCTTGTCCCCACCCCTCGAGCCTTGGTTTTTTGGCTACAACTGTCATGGTATACATTGGTAATAAAATCTTTCCCCAACCGTTGTGTGCAGTGATTGACTAAAAGCAGGAGGCAAAGCAATATTATATATTATTATATCCTGAGAAGAATGGGTGTGGTTTTTGGGTGGGGGCCTCCGTCACAGGTGTGAGGTGTCCAGGCCAGGGTTGGTGAAGGAGTAGCTCTGCCCATGCTGTCCCGTGAGACCTGCTTTTCTTCCTGACAGCACCTCCTTCAGGGGCTCAGGCTCTGCGTGTGGTTCTGGTGTGCTGCTCGGAGACTGCTGCTGGGGGGAACAGGGAGGGTCGATGATGGAGTGATCATCCCAGGCCCGACAGTGCAACTGGGCCTTCAAGCCCATGACTAGATGGTGCCTCAGCTGGGATCCCCTCTTGGGACCTCAGTCTTTTGCAGCTATGTCCCAGAGGTGGCCCTGGCCACGGTGGCACTGATGAGCTCAGACAAAGGGGTAGGCCTGGGATCATCTCTGGCTGTCCCACAGAGCAGCATTCTGGTGGTCTGCCCAGTCCAGAGTATCATCCAGGCCTGTGTCCTGTACCAACGAGGCGGTCCATCATAGTTGAGCTCTCTGCACCCGGCAGGCACCATGCCGAGGAAGGGAGGTTATATGAAGCATGCTCAGAGGACTGTCCTGGTCAGGAAGGGGCAGAGCAGGTTTGGACCACTCATCTTGTAGATCTAATGCCTGACCATGGTCCAGGGCTGCCCTGGTTGACTCTGGCATCTCCTTCTGCCATCTGCAGGAGGACATGTCTCAGCCCGGACCCCACTGTCAACTCATCGTGGTACACACTTCCATGTTTCTCCTACCTTGCTCTTCCTCGTTTCCCTGTGACAGGGCACACACGCATCCTGCCAGTCACATACACACCTCCCCCCACACACACCTCGCGGGGGAGGGAAGACTCCCTGGCTGAGTTACTCTGCTGCAGACACCCACAGGGCCAGGGCCCCAGGCACCACCACCCGCCCTAAGGCACTCCAAGGGCCTTTTCCAGACTGGGGCTGTTCCAGTCCCTGGTAAACAGTGGAACATCTGAGGGGCCCCAGAGGGGCTGAATATTCTACCAACACAGCCCTTGTTATTGGTCCCAAGCAGGGAGCAGAGCTATCCAGGGTAATATGATCTGGTCCCCAAGACCAGAGGCCTGAGTGCTGTCCGAGCCAACTCAGCACCCGCTCTGTGGGGATCAGTTTCCCTGTTGGTTATTACTGGGAAAGGTAGGAACTGATAATCTCTCACACCACATTTATGGAGCTCCTGGGAAAGTCACAGCACCCAGGGGTTGGTGGGAAAAGACCTCATCTCAGTTCCCACCCAGCCAAAGGAGAGGGGGCCCGGTGGCTCCTGAGAAGTCCCTGTGGCCCCCTGGGTCTGCCAAAGGCCTCCAAGACCCACCCACTACTGCAGGAGAGCGGGCAAAGGCAACTGCTCAGAAATTTTTCCTTCCTGAACAAAGTATAATGTTTATTCTGGCTTTAAAATCCCTCTGTGACTTGGTCTGCTCCCCTGTCCACACTTCTCTCACGGCTCCTGCTCTTTCCCAGACCACAGGCCTAGCCTGAGCTTGGGAGACCCTGATCTCCATAGCAAGACTGTCTGCTTCCACCCATGAAGACCTCCACTGATCTCTCCAGAGAGATGAGCCATGCCCAGAGGTGGCCTTGGTTGCCACTTATGACTCCCATTCCTGGAGGCCCATTTGGAGCCCTTCCTGTCAGATTCTTTGCACTGTGAGACACCCTGATCCCGGTGTAACATTCTGGCATTTTAAACTCGAGAGGCTTTGGTTGCCCAAATCTTTCCAAGCAAGGAGTTCTCGCAGGAAAATAAGGACTGAAGCATGAGGCCAGCTGGAGCTTCAGGACAGAGGGGACAAGTGGATGGGCACCAGGCAAGCTCGGGACCCAGAGGGGGCTGGATCAGGGAGAGTGGTGGCTCTGTCCCTTGACAGAACCTCACCCATGCGTCTCCTTCTGCCACCTTTGGAGAGCTTCTATGCCAGTGGGAGGAGAGGTGGCTGTTCCTGTGTTTCTGGAGTCCCCTCCCAGCCCACTGACCAGCTGCAGGGGTTCTCAGCCCTGCGTGGACCTTACAATCTCCCGAGGAATTCTGACAACACAACTGTGGAATGGCTGCACCCTTGGCCACTAGAATCGGGTGGGACTTGAGCACTGGCATTTTTAAAGAGTTCCCAAGGTGCTTCTAAACAGCTGCTCAGGCTGCACACTCTTCGACTCCTCTAACTCACCTAGTTAACGTTTTTAAATGATAGTACTGTTTATTGAGCCACCTTCTCTCCTTTGCTAGACTTTGTGTGTTCTTCTCCAGATCTTTCCTCCTGCCCCACCAACTTTTACACAAAGACCAGAAAAGAACAGAGCCAGATTTCCAAGCAATTGTTTCATGCCAGATGCTTTTATGCCTGCTCTTTAATCCTCACTGCTACTCTGCAAGATTAAAGTTCTCATCCCCATTTACAGATGAGGAAACTGAGAGCTTGAGGCAGGAATCATTCCCTAAGGACCAAGTGATGAGTGAAGGGGGAAGTGGGATGGAACCTCACTCAAAGGCATGGGGCCTCCTGAGGCCCGGTGCACCCAGGTGAGACTGCCCATGTCAGCAGTGGGTCCCTCCTCACTTTGTCCTTCATCCCATTCTTTTGGAGAAGGATCCCAAGTCAGAAGTTCTCTCCCATCTTACCTTGGTTTCTCGGTTGTTCTTATTCAGGTCCACAGAGTTGTCGTCCAGGGAATTGATACTGTGGGGAAAATGGTGGAGCCAGGGTTGTTGGGAGGCCCAGTCCTCCCTAACTGTGGGCCCTTCCGCCTCCTCCACCCTTACAGTACAATCACCACTGTCGTGACTTCCATGACTCGCCTCCACTGCCACCACAGCCATCATCACCGTCAATACTGTGAAGGGCAGGCACCTCACCTGACATAGTCCAAGTCCATTTCATTGGAGGAATCAAGGTACTCCAAGTCATTGGTGAGGAGGTTCAGCACGGGATTGGCCCTGGAGAAAAGGCTTGGTCAGGCAGCTGTGGCCCTCAGCCCCCTCACCCAGCTGTGCTACCTGGGACTCCTGCTCACCGCTCAGTGTTGTACATGTTAGTCCCAGGAATGGCAGGGGCTGAAGACACTATCCCCGCCGCAGTGTTCTGAGCCTCCCTGCTGGCCTTCATAGCCCGAATCTTCCTGTGGTAGCTGCAGGGAACCAGGAGAGGAGTCAGACTTTCACTGGACACCCACCCATTGCCTGCTGGAGGCCTCGACAGTGTGGCTTCACCACCATTCTGGCAGATGACTGTGTAAACTCCACTTTACAGAAGGAACAACCAAGGAAGGGAAGCGGTTTGCAGAGGCCATGCAGGCAGCTGGTGGTGAACCTAAACTCAACCCCAGATGTGACTGCTGACTGCTGGAAAAGGAACGTAGCAGCATTTATAAATTCATAGTGTGGGCCAGGCATCACACTGGGCATCTAGTGTTGTACCCATTCTTCAAATGAGGAAACTGAGGCTCAGGGACGGGAGAGGACTCACCCAAGTCTCACAACAGGTCACTGGTAATGGGACACACATACACCTGATGTCTAAACCCCAACTTTCTCTACTCCAAGCCCTGCATGTCTCGGAAGGAGGAAGGGGGAGGGCTAGAGACACGGGGCAATAGTAGCAGTACCTCTTCCGCATACACACAATGGACAGGACCATGACCACAAGGACCAGCAGCAAAACCCCTGCCAATCCTATGATGACACCGGTGAGCAGTTTTGGCTGGTCGGACTCTTGATTCCCCTGGGAGCCCTGCGGAAGAAGGAGCCTGAGGGTGGCCAGAAGTGTCTACACCCCTCCCCCTCCCTCCAACCTGCCGTCCACTCACCAGCATCACCAGCCCCAGCTGCAGCAGCTGCGTGAGTGCTCCTTGGTCTGCCCGGATCATCCTGGCCACAGAACCCCGCTCAGACGCAAAGGTCACTGCGTCCCCTGCCTCCCTGCCCAGCCCTGCCCAGCCCCAAGGACCAGTCCCACTCACAAGCTCAGCTCATTCAGTGTCAGAGCCGTCCCATTGGAGAAGACAAAGTAGGCGTCAAGGTAGGAGCGGGCTTGGACCCTGGAACAGGGCCAGGGAAGCGTCAGCAGCCTGGAGCCACCTGCAGCCCCTGCTGCTACTGTGTCTCTCCTCTGTCATCCACCGTGGACAGGGCACTCACCTGGCTGAGGAGTCTAGGTCCTGAATGTTCACAACGTAGACAGAAGTCTTGGTCGCCTGGGTCAGGGCCCTACAAAGGGGCAGGTGTCACAGACGCCTAGGATACAGGCTTTCCAGGCCTCTGACCTGGGCTGTGCCAGTGGAATCAGGAGTTGGGTGAATAAGAAAGCAGCACAGCGGCTAAGCAGGCCGCACCTTTGTGCAAATTAGAAGAGGAAACCTTTCCTTGGGGCTGGATTTGCAGCTTAGCAAGCAGTGTGCTTGTGCAGTACCCAGCCTTTGAAACTGTCTGTGACAGCTGTGTTTACGCCTCATTCTGTCTTTGGTTGGACAGGGCCTTTGATGGCATTCAGAACAGTAGTGTGGGTACCAGGCCCAAAAGAAGTACAAGGTCAAGGTTGGGTCGGGGTTGAGACATATTCCATCTAGTTCTTGTCAGAAACAAGCCTCCCATCCTTCCCCCGATGCCTTCTTCCCTGCCCAGACCTACGCCTTAATCTCTTCCACGCTGGTGCCCACGTCCACCTTGTCTGTGGAGAACTGCAGCCTCACGCGGTAACCCTCATCCACTGTGAAGAGCTAGGGAGGAGAGCATGGAGAGACGAGGCCCTGGGGACCCGGGAGCTGGCACAGGGCACCGGGGCCAGAGCGGGCACTGGTACTCACATTCAGGGAGATTGTGGCTTCCAGTGGAGGACCCACTGAAGGCATGTCCTGGGCCTTGACTGTCACCTGGTAAGTGCCTTGGATGGTGGGATCCAGGTTGGTCACCAGTCTATGGGGGAGGGGCGTATACTCAATCTCAGAATGCAAGATGAGGTTCTCAGAAACCCACTTTTACTCCTGCCAGCACAGGTGAGTTACTGTCTTGCACCTTCTTTTGGTCCCAGCTCTACCCCACACCCAGCCAGAAGCTGCCCAAAGTTACAGGATGCTGCCAATGAACACGCCGGCTTCCGAGGACTTGGTGATCTGGAAGCCCTGGAAAGGGGTCTTAGTTCCATCCTTAGTGATGAAATCCGTTTGGACAATGGAGAACTGGATCTCCCCATTCCTCCCTGAGTCAGCATCTCTAGCCTGGGAACAGGGGATGATGTGTGGGGGTCAGGTCAGGCCAGGCCAAGGACCTCCCGTCCCCAGCAGGGGCATGAGGCTGTGCTGGGGCCTGGGAGACTGATCTACTTAACCAGCACAAGGTTATCCAAGGTGTGCCATGCTGCTGAACACGTTTGTAACAGAGCAAGCTCGCTCTGCAGATTGAAGTTTGGACGAATCTCTGTCCCTGGACCCCAGCTAGCAATCCTGCCTTGTGAAGGTCCCCAGTACCACATACACATGCACACACACACACTCAGTCACAAGCACAGAGACACCTGAAATTTTATTTTATTTTATTTTATTTTTTTGTCTTTTTTCTTTTTATCGGTACCGGGGATCGAACTCATGACTGCCTGCTTGCAAGGCAGGCGCTTATGCCGCCGAGCTAAACCCCCAGCCCCCGACACCTGGACTTCTAAGCACCTACTGTGCACTTCCTCTTCTGACATCCCTCCTTTCAGGGCTTACTAATGTAAGAACTCCTGTAGAAGGCCAGGAGCTGCAGGGGCAAAAATGTTCTTATTTATTCTAGTGGCTTTCAGAGAAAAATACAGTACCACACACATGAGTTCCCTGACATTACTGTTCAAGACAAATAGGTATTGTTTGAGTTTCCAATTAAAGAAAAAGTGTTCAAAGCCACAGCTACGATCCTGACATCGGAGTCCAAGTGGCCCAGGCTTAGGCGACTATTTTATGGCTTGAAAGAACCCAAGAAGAGAGAATTTCTATCCCTATTTTATGAAATGAAACTGGAGCCTCACAAAAAACACTTTGTCTTTCTGGGCCTGGTGGTACCACTACACCTTTAATCCCAGCATTTGGGAGGCTGAGGCAGGAGGATCACTGTGAATCTGAGGCCAGTCTGGGCTCCTGAACTACATAGCAAGACTCTGTCTTAAAACCGGGGAGCGGGGGGCAGAGATTTAGCTCAGTGGCACAAACACCTGCCTGCCAAGTGCAAGATCATGAATTCCATCTCTGATACCAAGAGAGAGATGCTAGGCATGGTGACCCTATAATTCCAGCACTCTGGAGGCTGAGGCAGGAGGACCATTGCAAGTTTGAGACCAGCCTGGGCTACAAAGTGAGCTCAAGGCCAGCCTGAACTATCTGAAAAAGACAATAACTAACTAAATAAATGAATATATAAGTAAATAAACAAATATAGAAAGAGAAAAAAGAAAGAGAGAAAAGGAAGAAAGAAAGACCTTGTCTCATTGGCTGTTAGATTGGCCGTCTCCTGTCTATACCTGTCTCCTAGGTACACTCATGTCCTTTCCCTGGCATTATAGGTGGCACCCAGATTCTGCCTTCTGGAACCACCAGTTGCTTTTCAGAGAGAGAAACTGAGTCCACAGAAGTGTGGTAGATCGAGAAGATGCGCACCTAGGTCCAGCTCTGGGGCCCTGAGGGAGGCCTCACCCCACACAGCATAGGCATTGACCCATATCCAACACCATAACAAACTGGATGCATTTTTATAATTTTGCTGTGGAAATTATTTAACTAGAAAGAACACATTTAATTTAAAATAGGCTCTGATTTCTCTATTATGCTCAAAAGTTTTAGCATAGTTAGAAAAGTCTAGCCTGAAAAGTGGTATTTATGGTCATGAAATTTTTATGAATACCAAATTGAACAATTAGTGAAATTTGATCAGATCAATTAGGCAGGTGTTTGTTTCTGTCTTGGGGTTTGTGTTTTCATATATCACAGTGCATCATTTCTAGTGCTGAGACATTTAGCGGGCAGTATAAAGTTGAGGGCCTCAACCCTGTGTCTCCCGAGCCTAACGTGGCCAACAAAGACAAAAGACTCACCCGAACAGAAGCCACCTGCTGGTTGGGTAGCACGAGTTCCGGGATGATCACTGCAGGTTGGAACAGGAAAGGGTTATGCAGTTGGGCAGTGCCTACCCAGTCTGCCTTGCCCACAAGCCCAGCTCAGGTTCCCGCCTTCAAAATTCAAACCTGCTCTCAACGCATCTGGCAAAAGAGACTCCCATGACAGTTATACTTGAGCTGGTAGCTAGCAAGTCATCTACCTCCCATTGTACAGATGGAGAAACTGAGGCCCGATAGAGGGAGGACCTGGCTCAGGCCCAGTCATCTGATGAGGTAGAGCAGGAATAAAAAACTCAGATGTCCCTTCCAGTTGCACCCCTTGGGGGAGGTGGACTCAGAGCGCTTTATCTCTTTCTAAGGACTTTGTGGGCTGAAGGTGAGTCTATGAGGGGTACCCAAAGGGAGATGTGTGTTGGCAGCATGAAGACTGGGTTGCCACTTACCAAAAGTCCTATCATCTGGTAGAAAATAGGGTGCGTTGTCATTCACATCCTCGATGGTGATGGGGAGATTTCCTAGGGAGATGGGTCAGCTGGCTCAGAGTTCTTGTACCTCAGGCCAAGGCCTGACCCAAAAAGCCCAGGCCTTAGTCACATTTTCCACAGCCTCCCTTCCAGGCATCGCCCCATCAGTCCCTCCCTGGTTCCTTGACCCTTACAAGGCCTTCTCTGGTCTGAGTGGGTGGGAGCATCATTCCTACACCTCAGAGAGGGCTAAGCAGCTTGCAAAATCACACAGCAGGCCATGCAGGGCCCCAGAGGAGAAACAAGAGGCCAATTCACGCTTCCCATGAGCCAACTGGCCCACAAGTTGGAAACCATTACGTCCTCCCCCCACAAGCAGCCAGCTGATTCAGAGAAACACAGGCTGAGTTGCTAGCAACTGAACTACAAAAACAGCTTAATGCTTGTTTTGTTTGACTGCCTTTGCAGGCCTAAACCTGGAAGTCTGAGCATCTATTAGGATAACAATATGCAATATTGCAAATATGGGGGATTTCCTTCTGTTTTGTTTTTGAAATTCAGTATTGTTCTGTTTTGTTTTGTTCCATTTTACTGTTTTGTTTTATTCAATGTTCTGTTTTGATTGAGTTTTATTCTGTTCTGTTTTGTTGTTTCTATTATGTCTGATGGTGTGGGCACCAATTTTGAGATAACAAGAGGCATTATGGTAGCCATTGATGATTTCCTGTTATCCTGTTTTGAAGTCCTGTATCACTTTCACTGTTTTGATTGGCTTTATTTGTTTTTATGTTCTGTCATTTTATTTATTTTACTTACTTGTGGTTTTGTTTGTTTGTTACAGAGGATCGAACTCATGATCTTGGACTTACCAGGCAAGTACTTGAGCTGGGCTAAATCCCCAGCCTTTGATTGGCTTTATACTGTTTTATTTTGTTTGGTTTTATTCTCTTTAAAATAAAATTAAAAACAAAACAAAACAAAGTCACACAGCAAGAGTTGTGAGCCAGAATGGGTCCAGCCAAACTAGGTATATCATCCCACCTGACCACTGTGCGTGTGTGTGCACGCGCATGTGTGTAGCTCAGTAGTAGAGCACTTGCCTAGCATGAGCAAGATCCTAGGGTTGGGGGCTGGGGATTTAGCTCAGCGGCATAAGTGCCTGCCTTGCAAGCAGGCAGTAGTGAGTTCGATCCCTGGTACTGATAAAAAGGAAAAAGACAAAAAAAAAAGGGAAAAAAGCAAGATCCTAGGGTTGATCTCCAACTCCGTCACAGAGCACAAGAGGAAACTGTGTCTGGCATAGTTCTTGGCTCTCATAAAGACTCAGTGTAGGCTAGTTATTAATATAGCTATTATTGCTATTTGGTGTCAGAGTGGGGTATAAATAAATGTACATGTATGTTCTTTGCTTTATGCTGCCTCATAAAATAACAACATGAATTAGCAGCTTATTGCATGCCAGGCACTAGACTAAATGTTTCGTATACATGTTCTCATTTAACCTTAAACTGGACAGAAGGAGGATTTTGCCAGTGACACAGCTGGGAAGCGCTAAAGCCAGGAGTCAAAACCAGACCTGTGGAGCCCAGCCCAGGGCTCCATCCACCCTGTGGTCCTCACCATTTTTGCTGTAGGCCTGGAAGCGGGGATCCGTGTTGAGGTCGTAGGCCCGCACTACCAGTGTGACCAGGTCACAAGCCTCGTAGTCTATGGCCTCACTCTGATTGATGTACACAGAGCCATTGGCTGCCACCGAGAACCAGCCTTGGCACAGACTGCCTACGTCAGCCCCGGCCTTGGTGCAGATGACATTCACAAGCTGTATCTCCAGCTTGGACCCACTGTCCACGTCATGGGCAACCACCTTAGCCACCTCGCCATGCTGGGTGCCATTCTCAGCCACAGAGATGCCCTGCAGTGAGGCTTCATCCAGGGTGGGCGGCTCATCATTCACGTCCACCACAGTCACATTGACTCCTGCAGTGGCCTCGAGTTCCTGGGGACCTGGGTTCTCAGCATTCACCACCAGTTGGAAGAAGTCCTGGACCTCGTAGTCCAGACTTACATCTGAGGGCAGCCAGAGCTGGCCCTGAGCCACCCCAAACTCCAGCACCACACCTCGGAGCATGAAGTTGTTGGCACCAGTCCCTGACAGGACGAAGCTGATGCGATTGTTGGCTTCTGTCTGGTCTGCATCCCGGGCTTCCACTATGCCCACAAGTGCTCCTGGGGACAAGGGACAGAGCTTGAAGAAACCCTGGCCAGGTCATTGGAGGCCTCCTCTGCCTATAAGACTAGGGCACCCAGGCGTGTCCTCTGAGTGTAGCTGTTCATAGGCTTGTTATTGCTACTTGGTATCAGAGGTGAGACAAAAATAACACATCTGAAGTGGGCCATGATGGTGCATACTCTAATCCCAGCACTGTGGGAGACTGAGGCAGAAAAGCAAGTTCAAGCTCAACCTAGCAACTTAGCAACTTAACAAGACTCAGTCTCAAAAAAATTTTTTTTCAAAGGGGCCTGGGTACATAGCTCAGGCCTCAGCACCATAAACACACACACACACACACACACACACACACGCTCCAAAGTGTGCACTTTCCCTTATAATTCCTCATAAAATAACAATTAATAAAGTGCTTACTAATACTCAGCACTTCATGAAGCACTTTGCACGCCTACTCTCATTTAATCTTGACAGTCACCCATACCCAGTTCTAGGGCTTGAGTGCCCAGAGAGGGCTTACCTGGATCCTGCTCCTTCACCGAGAACTGGTAGGTGGACTGGGTGAAGACAGCCAGGTTGTCATTTATGTCCTGCAGGGAGAGGCAGATCTGAGTCCCAGGGGCCCAGACAGCCCTGAAGGTTCACCTGCCCAGCGCTAATCAAGAAACCAGTGACTCCTCTGCCACAGACAGAAGTAGGGACTCTCCGTGTCTCCTCGGACAGGATCGGCTGCTTCCAAGAGGCAGAAACAGCCTTTGAAAGGAAGGAGCCTGCCCTGGTCACTGCCTGGGGCTCAGAGGCCTGCGTGTGGGGTCTCCTGCAGTTGTTTGGGTAACCAGGAAGCTCCACCTCCTTTCTGTTTCTGGGACTACACTTCAGAACTCTTGATTGGTTCCAGGTCCCCACCCATGTCTGTCTGGGTCAGCTCGACTTCCCGCCTCTTGGATGGACTGTGCTGGCACCAGCTCCACGGCTCTGCGGCCCCAGTCTCCTTCTTTGCCTCCTCCCTCCTGCATCTCCTGCACTCGTCTCACCCACAGCACCAGCTCTGTGCCCAGGCAGAGCCAGGGCTTACACTGGTCCTGTCCTCTGACGTGCCAGCTGCTTCTGCACTCACCTCCCTCTCCAGTCCTGGCTGGAGCCATCACTACCACTGTCACAGCACGAGGCCGACACCACCATCACACCGGCCCCCAGCACTGGCACCAGTGTGGAGGGTCCTGAGTGTCCCAGCCTTCCTGGTCAGGCTGGAGGCTCATCTTTTCCTATATACTATAAAATAGACATTCAGAAAACAAAAATCTCTCCTCTCAGTGAGATGTATTCTCATTGTCTGTCTGTCTGTCTGTCTGTCTGTCTGTCTGTCTCTCTCCTCATTCTTTCATCTTACTCTGTGGCCCAGGCTGTCCTCAAACTACTGCTGAGCCTTCTGCCCTCTGTGCAGCTTGGACTAAAGAATGTCCAGCTGAGATGTGTGGGCTTTGGGGTTTCGGGTTTTTGTGTGTCTGCTTTTTAAAGTACTGGAAATTGAACCCAGGGCCTGCACACTGAGCTACATCCTCAGTCCCTTTTTTATTTTAATACAACATCTTGCCAAACTGCTAAGTTACCCAGGCTGAGCTTGAAGTTGCAGTTCTCCTGCCTCAGCCTCCCAGAGTGCTGGGACACCTGGCTGAGATGTACTTTCTGATAGTGCTTTTCTAGACTGCCACTGCCAGCTCCATGCACCTGGCCAGGTGCATTCTCACAGCATCCTAACTCACCGAAGTGGCCAGGAGAGCAGCTCCGACTCAAATCCCTACCTCTGCTTTTTGGGTGACTTTGATCTCAAGGCCTCAGCGTCTTCATCTAGGAAATGGGACAGCAGTCCCCATGTGCAGGGCAGAATGAAGACCAGCTTGTCGAAGTAAAAAGACCCGCTCATTTATAAGTGCAATTCTTCACTTTTCCTTCTTTGTGGTCTACCTGCTTCCCAGATGGCCAACAAGCCCTAAATCAGCTTCTGTTTCTCTACTCTCCTTGAGGCTGCACCTCTCTGATCTTTATAGGAGAGTGGCAAATCCCAACTCAGTGGGACCCAAGGCTGCTACGTGCAGTGGTGCAGACTGCACAACCCTAGGGGGACGATCTACACCACGGCCACTGCAGAGGCACACATTTATTACAATCCTTTTCCAGAGGAGGCCGCCTGGCGGGCCAGTAGCAGCCTTAGAACTGTGTTCAAATCCCCATTGCACAACTCTGGGAAAGTCACCGAACTGCTCCGTGACTGATTTTCTTGATCAATAAAACCCTCATAACCAGCCCTGCCTCTCAGGCCCTGAGGCACAGTGGATCCCATCAGTGCTGATTTCCACCCTTGCTCTTTGCCTCTGAACGCTGGCGGGGAGCTGCGAGGGTTTCAGGCAGGGCTCTGAGTGCTGACTGAGCTAATGTATGCTGAGTGCTTTCTGTGGTCTCACACTTTCCACTAAATAACTCAGTCCTCCCACTGTCGCCACCCTCGCTGTACACGAGAAGAACCAAAGGGCCAGGGAGGTGAGTGACAGCCTAGAGCCGCGTGGCCAGGCAGCCCATCTGCGAGGCGCCCAGCCCACCACAGCACTGCAAGGGGAGTGAAAGGCAGCCATGCCGGAGGCGCCCACCGGCCACCTGCTCCAGGACACTCGACCCACACAGTCCACAAGGCCGGCCATACCTCCACAGTGATGGTGACATTGACTTCAGTGCTGAGGGGAGGCACGCCGCAGTCAGACACGCGCACGGTCAGCACGATGCGGCCCTCCAGGGCCAGGTCAATGGCCTCTCGGTCCAGCGGCCCCACGTTCCTCAGGAGCCCTGTGTTGGGGTCCACTGAGAAGTTCTGGCTGTAGGGCCCGGGGAGCAGGCTGAAGACTAGGCGGCTGTTGTTGGTGTCTCGCTCATCGTTGTCATAGGCCTGGGCAGAGAAGCAGGTGCTGGCATCAGCCCCCTGCCCCAGCCCTACCTGGCCATCTCACCGCCCCCAGCACTGGCCCATGGGGCAGCAATTGGCCTGCAGCCAGTGGGCAGCTCCTGCCCTCCTCGTGATCTGAGCTCTTGTCTAAGAGGTTCTGACCACCACTTGCGAGCCCTTTTGAGGTCTTCAGCACTGAGTCATCCATTCATCCCACAATCGTTTACTGTGCACCTACTACGTGTGTGGTCCTGATCTAAGCCCTGGGAAGAAAGCTGTAAGAAAGAGGACTTCTTTATGGAGCTGATATGCTACTGAAAAGGGGACATGGGAAAGTATATCACAGCCAAATTTTTTTAAAAAGCTGACAGTGGTACACACCTGTAATCCCGGCTACTCAGGAGGTTAAAACAGGAGGATCAGAAGTTCAAGGCCAGCCTGAGCAACTTAGAAACTTAACAAGACCCTATCTCAAAATAAAAAAAAATTTAAAAAGGGCTGTGGAAGGCCAGGGATTTAGCTCAGCGGCATAAGGGCCTGCCTGGCAAGCACGAGGTCATGAGTTTAATCCCCAGTACCAAAAAAAAGGGCTGTGGAGGTAGCTCAGTGGTAGGCGCTGACCTACATCGTTCAAGGGCTGCGTTCAACCCCAGTACTGCACACACACACACACAGACGCAGTTTGTTGTTTTATGGTTCTAGGGATCGTGCCCAGGGTGCTCTAAGGCTGAGCAACATTCCCAGCCCTGTTCATTATTAGTTTGAGGCAGGGTCTTGCTAAGTTGCCTAGGCAGGATTCCTACTTGCAATTGCCCTGCCCATCCTTCAGTGCTGGGATTACAGTCGTGCACCACCGGGCCTGGCAGAGCAGTATGTTTTTGAAGGCTTGTTCCATGCCAAGCCTATAACTGACCACTTTATTTTCTCATTATCCCCAAGCCTGTGAGTAAATACTATGATCTCCACTTTATGAAGAGTAAACAGAGGCTCAGAGTGACTGAGTGACTTCCCCAGAGCCACACAGCAAAGCCCTGACTCTACCCTGAACCAGCATGACTTCAGAGCCAGACTTGGTACACAGCTTGGTACACAACTTGGCACACACACACACACACACACACACACACACAACGGGTCTAGGCCAGTTTGCACCTCGATAATCACGGAGACATTGCCCTTCTCCTCCTGGACAAAGATGTTGTAGGAGCCATAGACCACAGGGGCGTTGTCGTTCACGTCCAGCAGATAGATCTGCAGCATGGTGGTGTCGGACAGGCCCCCGCCATCCGTGGCCTGCAGCGTGAGGTAGTACACAGCCTGCTTCTCCCGGTCCAGCAGCATGCCATCTTTCACTGTCACTGTCCCTGAGGTCGGATCCACCTCAAAGACCTCTGCCCTGCTCAGGGCAGCCAGATTTAGCAAACACATTTATGCTCAAATTTGAATTGCAGATAAACAATGGCAAATATTTTGGTGTGCACTGTACAATATTTCTAACACACTTTTGCTATGGTTCAGACAAGATTTGAGCGTGCGCCTCCTGTCCTAAAGGAAGCGTGGGCCACAGTGTGACAACAGGAAGATGAGGCGGGGCCCTTTGGGAACTTGTTTCCAGGGCCCCTCCACTCCGGACTCGGGGTGCTCTTGGGAACTTTGCCTCTAGTGATGCTGTCTGTCTACTCTGGTCTTGACTGCTCTGCAATTTCTAGAACTGTGAGCTAATTAAACTTCTCTTTATAAAAAGTGTACAACATCAAGTATTGTTTTAGGAACCAAGAGTGGCGGCACATGCCTGTAATCCCAGCACTCTGAGGCTGAGGCAGGAGGACCCTGCCATGAGTTCGAGGCCACCCTCAGGTACATAGTGAGTTCAAGACTAGCCTGGACTACATAGCAAGAACTTGTCTAAAAAAAAAAAGTCAACAAACAAGTATTGTTACAGGAACAGAAAACAAACACATTTTTTAAATGGTTCATTGCTTTTCTTTACTTTTTTTTTTTTTTTTTTGAGACAGGGACTTACACTGCACTTTAGGCTGAGTGACCCTGAGCTCACTCTATAGCCCACACCAGCCTCAAACTCACAGTGTTCTTCCTGTCTCAGCCTCCTGAGTGCTGGGATTATAGGCATACACCACCAGGCCCGGCTCATGTTTTTCTGAGATTTAAATGTAGCTGAGGAACTCACATTTTCTCAGGCTGCCCCAGCCCTTTCATGAGACAGAGACGTGGGCCTGTGTCCCACTTCGCCCACTCCCCTGTGTCCACTGCCACACTCAGAGCTTACCCATTCCCTAAGAGCAGGCTGTAGGTGATGCGGCCCCATTCACCCGTGTCTGGGTCTTCAGCCTGTGAAGCGGGGGATGAGAGGAGGCAGTTTAGACACAATGGCACCTGCTGCCTACCGTGCAGTTCATGGAGACAGGGCTGTCCTGCCCCCTGGCACAAAGGGAGGACTTCTCACATCTGGATCCACACCACAGTTCCCAGATCTTCCCTTCTCCACAGCAGCCTCCCAGCCTGGCCAGCCACATCTCGTGTCACTCACATGAATGCTGCTGGTGACCACAGTGCCTGTGGCACTGTCCTCCAGCAGGCTGAGGTTGTATGACCTCTCAGGGAAGGTGGGCCTGTGGTCATTGATGTCTGTGAGATGGATGGTCACCGTGGCAATGGAGGATTTCTTGCTGACTGAGTCAGTGGCCACAACCTGAGCACAGAGGAGGCTGCAGTACTGGGGCCTGACTGCCCCCCGGGCTCTTCTCCCTAGCACCCCAGAGCGCCCCTCACCTGCACCAGCATCACGTTCTTGTTCTCATAGTCCACCATCTCTGAATTTCTCACCAGCACCTGCACGTCGGCTGAGCCTGCTGCCCGTCCAGGGGACACGCTGAAGGCTCCAGCATCGGGGCCCCCCAGGGACAGCAGGAAGGTGCCGTTGTTGCCCTGTAAAGGGGGACTGTAGAGTAGGAGCCCCAGCCCCCCACAGCTCACCCCCTCACATCTTTTGCCCGGTCCCTAGCCTCAGGCTCTTGTCTCTGAAAGCCCTGGCCAATGACTGTTCAAAGAAGAGGGCTCCTAGAAGACTGAGGTGACAGGCTGGGCTGGTCACTTGTCTCTGCATATGTGGCCTCATCAGAAGCTCTCCCATGGCACTGCAGGTCCCAGGCCATGACTGTAGGCCTGGTCACCTCTCCTCACTCCCCTAAGGGGTTTCTGTCGGCCTTCCTCACTAGCCACCATTCACCACGCATCCAACAACCACCTTGTACCCCATCCTACCCTGGGATCAACACCAACCCCAGCTCAACACATCCACCTAGCCAAAGACACCTCATACCATCCTCCACTCAAAATTCTGTGCTATGTCCGTATCACCTAATGCTACCAAGCGCCATCCGTGGTTATTTCTCATTCAGCTTCACCCACGTCACCTACCACCCAGTACCAATTTTTATTTCAGACTTCCCCTCCAACCTAACGCTCTGGACACAACACACAGCCTCGCCCAGTGTCTCCCAACACTCAGTATCACCCCAGATCACGGACCACCCCATGCGAGCACCACCAGAAGCCACACTCCACACGACCTGACAGCCAGTACCGACCCCCACTCGGCACTGCTTCCCCTCCTGATAGGAGGTATCCTATCGCCCGGATCACATTATTACCCACGACTCAGCAGCACCCAGCATTTCCAGTATCACCACCAGTTCCCACTTCCCACCCCGCCATCGTCTCTCCTACCAATCACCTTCCTGCCTCCCCTCCTCCCTCCCAGCTACTACCTGTCAACCTCCCCTGCCATGCCCCCTTCCGCTGTGCCTGCCTTGTCTGGGTCGTAGGCCACCATGGTGAGATTGTCAATTGGGATGCGGGCGGAGACATGCTCGTCCACATAGGCAGTGAAAGTGTCCTGGGCCTCTTGTGGGGTGAAGGAGCAGTCTTCGAGGACGCAGTTGTAAAACTCCGGTTTGTGGTCATTGACATCCAACACTGTTAGTGTGACCCATGTGCTAACCTTGGCCTCTTGCCCGTAGATATTGAGGTTCATCTCAGTGGCCTAAAGCACAGAGCAGAGACCAGAGTGCAGAGAATCGGTGTTCAGAAATAATAAGATCAAAGGTGTGAGGTGACAGCACGGGGAGCCCTTACTCACCGTGACCTGAAACTGCACTTCCTCATTCTCCTCCCGGAGCTGCTCACGGTCCAGAGGGCTGCTGACCCTGATGACACCATCATCCCCGACAGCAAACCAGCCAGGCCTCGTGGAGTCTATAAGGAGACAGGGCAGGCAGCTGCCTCCAGGGGCTCTGACAGGGCGCCCACCCTCTCTCCTGATCCAGCCTCAGCCAGGGACCCCTGGGTCCTCACTGGAGATGCTGTAGGTCAACACGTCATTGATGCCTCTGTCTCCATCCACAGCCTGCACCATCAGCACCGAGGTGTTCTGGAAAGGGGCCCAGTCAGTGCCTCTGAGCCTTTCCTCTGCCTCTCATGCCCACCCTGGACCCTGCAGGTGCCCAGCACACACCACGGGTGCATCCTCGGACACAGAGGCCGAGTAAAACTCCCTGACAAACTGGGGGTCCAGGTCTGGCTGGTCAATCACTGAGATGAACGGAAAGATGGGCTGGGAGCACTGTGTGACGTTGGTGTTGTTGAACAGGCCACCTGAGTCCTACAGGGAGAAGGCCTTTCATGAGCCAGGGCCACAGGTCTGTGTGCCCTGCCTTCCGTCACCTCCACTCACGCAGGCCTTCAGCTCCAGCTGGTAGAAGGCACTCTTGTTATTGTAGCTGAGGCTGTCATTGAGGACAACGGAGCCGTTTTCCAGGATCTTGAAGAGATGCTTGCTGTCCAGGGTACTAGGGATGACCTTAGCAGAAGACATAATCAGACTGGAAACTCCAGGGACAGTGCTGCTCCACCCACTGACCCTTCTCAGGGGGACATGGGTTCGAATCCTGACTCTACCATTAACCAGTCAAGCAACCTTCACCTCTGCAAGCCTCAGCTGCCAACTCTGGGAAGTGAGCTGTTGAGGCTGAAGAAAGGATCCCATGAGACAATAGATAAGCCAAAGCAGGAAGTGGAGCAACCACTAACAAAGCCGTTTGCTGATAAACAACTCACACAACCCTGATTGTCTATATACCCTCGGACAAGACCGAGGACTTCTCTGAGCCTCAGTTTCCTCTCCTGTGAAGCTGGAAGTGTGTTAGCTACCAGGAGGTGAGACTTGAGCTTCCATCAGAGGCTCAGTAGGGGTGAGGTACAAAGCAGGAAGTCTCTTTTGGCAACGGAGCAAAGTGAGGTGCCTGCGGAAGTGGGGTGGGAAGGCCAGAGGGACCAGCAGGGATTCAGCACTGTTGATTCTTAGGACCCTGCAGGTTGGTTGGCCGCGGAGATGCTGCCCCCTGGTGGCCATAAGGAGCAATCAGGTTATACACTCTCAAAAACCATTCCCTCAGACTTTCACTCACCTTCTCTATGTAGTACTTCACCACACCCGCTGAGCCCGTGTCTGGGTCTGTAGCCAGCACAGAGAACACCACGGAGCCGACTGGAAGGGTCTGAAAGAAGGAATTTATCATCTGTGGGCTCAAATTCCTCTTCCCCACTCCTGAGCCTCAGTTTCCCCACCTGTCCCGAGGAGATAATGTGCCCCTGAGCAGATGAGGAGGGAGCCAGAGGTGACATGGGAAAGGGAACAGGACCCACACGCTCCTTCTCTCCTTACACATCCTGATCTGGTGACTTCCTCCTCCTCCTCCTTGTTAAGGTTGGGGATTGAACCTAGCATGGGCATGCACATGCTAGGCAAGTGCTCTACCACTGAGCTACATACATCTCCAGCCCTTTTCACTTGATTTTGAAACAGGATCTTGCTAAGCTGCCCAAGCTGGCCTTGAACTTGTAGTCCTCCTGCCTCCGTCTCAGAGTTGTGAGGATTACTGGCCTGTGTCACCGTTCCTGGCTTGAGCTGCCTTCTGATTTTGGAGTCTCTCAGGCCCAGAGTGAAGGAACATTCTAGAACCCAGCCTGACCATGCTAATCCCCTGCCCCAACGTCCCTGTGGACTCACTAGAGCTCTCAGCCCTAGACTTCAAACTGCACCCTCCAGGACTGGGAGGCTAAAACAGGAAGTATTTGCTCCCAGGTCCTCAGCTGCCCAGAAGCACACTTTGCCATTTCCACATGGCAGCCAAAGATATCTTTCAAGGTCATAAATCAGAGCATGCCGTGCTTGTGCTTCAGAGCTCCCCAGGGCTCCCCAGCCTACCTAGAATACGGCCCAGGCTGCTTCTATGGCCCCCGGGTGCTGTCCCTCTCTAATCCCACTGACTTCTTGCGTTCCACTCGCCAGCTACCTGGCCAGCCTCGTTCCCACCTCAGGGCCTCTCTATCGCTGTTCCCCTGCCTGCAACATCCTTTCCTTGGAGTGTTTCCTGCGGGCTTCCTCTTGCCATTCAGGTCTCGGCTCAGAGGTCACCTACGCTGGGAAGCCTTTCTAACCTCATAACAAAAAGTGGCCCCTCCCGCTCACCTTCTCTCACTTTGCCGTGGTGTATGGTCTTCATAGAACTCAGCGCCATCTAAAATACTCCTGCACATTCTATGTGTCATTGACTGCGGTGTGCGCTGTTCCCTAGCCTACGAGCCCCTGAGAGTGCCGTCCAGAGAAGTCTGGCTCAGCAGGCAACTTAAGCACCTAGGACAGTGTCAGGCGCAAGGGCACGGGTCAGAGCCTGTCACGTGACACTCCAGCCCTACCAGCCTCCGGACCGGCCTAGTGTCCCCTCCTGCACCTCTTTGCAGCCACATGGTAGTGAAGATTCAGGAATGACACTGTGTTCACTGCCCAGTGGCTGCCGGGAAATCTCCCCGCCACGCCTGTCCTTCTCGTGGAGCTGCCCGCTTGCTGATCTGCAGATTTAGGGGGGGTTTTTGTTGTTGTTTTGTTTTTTGGTATTAACCAGAGCATTTCAGACCTCTGCATTGGTTCAAGGACGGACACGTGACCCAAAGTGAGCCAATGAAAGGAAGCCCTGGGGTTCTGGCTAAAACCACTGCGGAAGGGCCGGGCGTGGTGGCTCACGCCTGTAATCCCAGCACTCTGGAGGCTGAGGCAGGAGGGTTGTTGCGAGTTCGAGACCAGCCTGGGCTACAGAGTGAGCTCAAGGCCAGCCTGAACTGCATAGTGAGACACTGTCTCAAAAAGACAAAAAAAACCCAAAAACAAACAAACAAACAAAAAAACACTGCGGAAGATAGTCTCTCTGCTGAAGGTATAAAACTGGTAGGACGTAAAAAAAAAAAAAAAAAAAAAAAAAAACTGGTAGGACGTTAGCCTAGACCTACGAGGGGACATTTTTATGACCATTTAAATTTTGGAAGTGCTTCCCACCCTCACCCCCAGATTGGGGATAGCAAGAGAAGAGGTGGAAAGAGAGATTTCTTTAAGATGCAGTTTGAGTATCAATCATACCTGAAGTCAGAAGTACCTATAAACTTTTCAGATTTATGAGAAAATCAGTTCCTCTTCTTCTTTCCTTCTTTCTTTCTCTTTTTGATTTTTAAAAATTTATTTGCTTTCTTAATTGGAAGAATTTCAATCCAGTATGGTTGCTTGCAAACCATGCTGCTTGAACTACTGCTCATAGGGTTACCTCTCCCTGGATTGGACTCTTCTGGGTTTCCTCTCTAGAAGAGACTTTTCCTGACTTTTCCTGATCCTGGATGCCCCGCTGGCTGCCTCTGGCTCCTCCTTTTGAAGCCGTGGTTTGGGAGCCTCCTTCCCCTGCCCGGTCCCAGAAAGGTCAGTATTACCTCATTGATGCTGATGGAGAGTACAGGGTCCTGGAAAACGGGTGCGTTGTCATTTCTGTCTTCTATCACCACAACCATTTCCTTCTGGTCCTGCAGCCAGCAATGAGAAACCAACTAATATATTGGGGCTTAGGAAAAATGTTGGAGACAAGACTCAGCTTCTACAAACACGACACAGCAGCATAAACGTTGTATGAGCATGGATGTTAACATACTGTGCCAACATCAGAGGTGATCACCTCAGAGGTGCATGGGGAGACAGGTATTTGTCAAAGTTATTTTTTTTCTTTTGAGGTACTGGGGGTTGAACCCAAGGTCTTAACCTGAGCTATATCCCCAGGCTTTTTTGTTTCTATTTTGAGACAAGGTTTCACTAAGTTGCCTAGACTGGCCTCAAATTTAGAATCCTCCTGCCACAGCCTACTGAGCATTTGGGATTTCAGATATTATTTACATTAACATAAATCTGTACTACAATTAATTCTATATTTCTAATATTAAATCTATATAATCAAAATAAATTAATAATACATATGAAACTTGGTTATATTCTGTGACAAAGATGGACATGTATAATTTTGATAAGAATGAACATTAAATGCATTACGAACTTGGGTACTCTCTGCTCACTTGAGGTAAGCAACATGGTGGTGTATAGACACCTAGGACCCCCTCTTCCCATTTGGGGTCATTCCTCCCTCCCCCTACCTTTTGACTCACCTTGTTGTGACCATCAGTCACGGAGATGCTGATCCTGAAGAATTTGAGTGTCTGTAAAGGGCAGAGAGAAGGGGCCCAAGGTGAGCCTCTGCTCAGTGTGGGTGCGCAGGCCAGGTGCCCCCGCAGGACATTGGCTTCCAAGGGCTCTCCATCTCCCCTCAGGCCCCCCCCCCACTGCTGCCCTCTACCTCGAAGTCCAGAGCGCTTGCCAGCTTCACTTGCCCGGTGGTTTGGCTGACAGAGAAGAAATAGGCATTGGTGCCAGCGATGTTGTAGGTCAGAGGGCCATTTTCTGGGTCTTCAACTGCCAACCAGAAGGCCTCAGAACCTGGGGAGGGAACAGGGCCTTGCCCAGGGTCTGCAGCATCTCTGTCAGTGCTGCATGGCAGAGCTGGGGACTTCTCTTCTCTGAACACAGGCTTATTTGAAATCTGTGGCCTCCCCAAGCCTGGGGTCTCGTCCCTGTGGTTATAGATGTCGACTGTGGTAGGTATTGAGCACTCATCCAGAGGTTTTGGTAACAGTGCCCTGATTTCCTCCACGGCAATTACACTACGTGCACTGGACACCCTGGGGTAACCTTTTCGCCAGAGGTCTCCCTGCTTGGCTAGGCCCATGGACCCAGCCTCCCTGAACCTGGACACTGAGCTTTGTTGAGAATCTCAAAATGACCAAGTCAGTGTGCTGCAGTCACAGCAGCTGGGGTCTCCTGGGATGGGGCCTGCTAATTACCCTCTTAGGAGCCTGGGCATGAAGCCTCTTCTAAGCCTCCCAGTTACCCTGAGAGCTCTGGAGCCTTCCAGGACAGTGTCTAAACTCTTTCATTCAGACTTTGAAGGGCCTCTCAGACGCAGACCTTGAGGGCAATTATATGATATCTGTATTTGTGACGTCTGTATGAAGCTGTCTATGTGTTTATTTTTATATGAAAACAACCTCTATGAAAATATATGCAAATATCATTAACATGCAGACTTCTCTGTTCTACAAAGAATATTCAGAGATATCAAATAACTGGACCTGAGTCTAGTTGTTCAGGGAAGAATATACCTCAGAATAGAACAAAACTACCACCTCCCTCTTCTGGCCTCTAAACCTTTACTAATCTAACTTGTCCCATACTATTTTGTCCCAGCAATGGTAGCCAAACAGATGGGGCCTTTGTGCCTGCAAAGCCCAGCTCCCCATTCAGGAGCACGGGCCCTAAATCCCAGAAGCTGCCTTTCACTTTCCTGGATGTGGTCTCTTCTCCTTTGCCATGGAGAAAAGGTAATGCTACAAAGAAAAGCAACAAAAACAAAGCAAATTTATTAACTTCTGGCAAGAATGGTCTGGGAAATACTCTGAGCCTGAGGCCCTTTGCTAAAAACAAAAACAAACAAAAAAAGCAGGAGATAGAGATTAGCAAAGGTATGAGGGAGAAAACAAGAAATAGTTCCAAACAAGATTCTGCCTCATTGGGGAAATCAGAATATTGAGAGGGATGGAAATAAAATGAGCTTTGATTATTTGGTGCTATATGTAGGCCCCCTCACATCTTATACCCCATGAACCAAAAGCCAAAGAGGTGAAAAGAAACTTCTAGAACTAAAGAGATTCCCTTTAGGCCACTTTTGTTCCAGGATGAGCCCTGGGGCTGCAGGGATGAAGTAAGCCAAAGAGGGAGTCTTGACCTTGTGGGTCAGATTTGGCCCAGTGCAGGCACAGGTACCACTACTCACCCACTGGTAGGTCCTCTGGCAGGATCACACTCGTCATGTTGGGCAGAAACTTCGGGGGACGATTGGCTGCTACTGCAGGGACACAGCAGTGGAACACTTGGACACTCTTGCAAAGCTGACCCACTTCCCTCCCTGGGGAACTCACATCCAACACTAAGGGCAGTGTGCTTGGGAGTTCACCGCCTCGAACGGTTTCAGTTTCGCCCAGGCCTCCCCAGGGCAGCACCCCACCTCTACCCCCCACAGGAGAGCTTGTGTTGCTAAGCAGGGTGAGCCCCTCCCCTCAGGAGCATCCTGTTCTTATGGGAGATGGAAGGCACCCACCAGACATCATGAGAGCAGGAAGCAGGAGGCAGGGCAGCCAGGGTCGAGCCATCTTGGAGGGACCTAGAGGAAGATGTGTCAGAGAGGCATAGCTGGAACCAGGTCTCTGTTTTTGGCAGAGCTCCATACCTCAGAGTGTAACCCCAAACCCACCTACTATCTTTCAGCTCAGTAGTTCCCCTGCAGGGCCCCCATTACCCTCTATTCATGTTCCAGATGCTCCAGTGTTGGGAGAGCCAACGGGAGGCACCAGAGTGGCTGAACCTTAACTTGGCCCCTAGTGCCAGGCCTATCAGGCACTGCTTTGAGCATCTTAGATATGTGAGATCTCTGTCTCTGTCTCCCTGTCCCTCTCCCTCCCTCTCCCTCCCTCTGCCTCTCTCTCTTTCCTTCTCATCTCTCTCAGTATCCAGCTCAGAGCCTTGAGCCTGCTACAGAAGACTCAACCACTGATCTACACCCCAGCCCTTAAATGTGAGCACATTAATCCTACTACTATGAGATGGCTGTTAAGATCCTGAGGCTGAGAGATGAAGGGGCCACACAGAGTCAGAGACAAGGCCATGCACTGAACACAGGCCTTCTGGAGCCCATGATTCATGCCCTCAACCATGATATTACTTAACCTGTTTCAGGTATCCACACTAATAGCAGCCTTCAAAATCAAGAATCCAGAGAGGCACTGTGACTCCACCAGGACCATCCAGAGACTCTGGACAGTTGGGCAGGATCCTGATTCTACTTGCTGATACATTTATAGCTACCTTTGCCAGGTATGAGTCTCACACCTGTAATCCCAGCCATCCAGGAACTGAGGCAGGAGGATCATTACAAATTCAAGGCCAGTCTGGGCTACCTAGTGGTGAGGTCATTGATAACCTGAACCACACAGCAAGACCCTGTCACAGGACAGACAAACAACAACAAAAACAGCCTCCTCTGTGGCCTTTCCCAAAGTGTGCTCTGTGGAGTAACATTCCCCACCGGAGCAGGGCTCCCCGGTCAGGTCAGTTTGGGAAGAGCTGCTGCTGTCTGTGCTCCTCTCACCAACTGACCACCAGGCAGGACCTTGCAAAGCCCTGCCCAGGCCAGCCTCCTTGGTCAACTGATGTTACAAGCTCTCCTTCATCCAGGAAAAGGAGATAAAGGTGGCTTTGATTCATTGTCACTGAGATATCAGTAAACCTTAAATCTTAATCCCAAATGACAATTGGTGTATTACACAAAGAGGGGGTGTATGATAAGCCCCCCATACGCTCTGTTTCTTGCTCTCTGCCAAGAAAGTTTTGCATGTGCTGTAATCACTCTGAGATAAGATAGTTACTTGTATGTACTTCTGTGTTAAGTGAATGCATTAACTTTTCCAAAAATAAATTAAAATTAATTTGTTTACTTCAAAGCAAAGAAATATGGGTGCTGCCAGGCACCATCCCCCTGATCGGTGGCTCTTTCCCTCCTGCCCTGGAGCCTTAACAGCCAAGAGGGAGGCAGCCCAGAGAAGGAAATGAGGAAGGAGAAGGGCTTTCCTGGCCCAGCCTTGACCAAGGAACCCTAACCATGAAACACAGTATCCACCAGAACTCGTATCAGCTCCCGAGACCCCACAGGGATCCTCCCACTTGACCCCCACTATCGCAAACTGCCCACATCCAATCCATTTCTCCTCAGTTCCTCTCCCATCTCCTCCCTCCCCACCACCAACACCAGCATCATCAGCCTCCTCCAGATATCCCTTCCTCCAGCCTCTCTCATCCACTCCATGCAGCCAGAATAATCCTTCCTTGTGCAACCGTGTGACCTCCCTCCCTGACTCAAAACCCTCATGGCTCCCCATGGCACAGAGGAGAAACCAGCAGGTGTGGTGGCCACATGCCTGTGACCCCAGCACCCTTGGGAAGTTGGGGCTAGAAACCACATGTTTGAGGCCAACCTGGGCTATATAGCAAGTTTGAGCCAGGCTAAGACTACATCGTTAGGCCTTGTCACAAAACAACAAAAACAATAGAGAAGGAGGTGGAAGAGAAACTGTTTTAGGCAGTATGGCAGACAAAGAACGGTACAATATTTTGACATCCCTCCACAAGAGATAGAAGCTATGTCTGCTTTCCGTGAGTCTGGCATAATAAACACGGATTTTTATTTTTTGTACTTTATAATACTTTGACATTTTGGGGGCCTAGCTATCTGGGAAATATTGTCCCACCACCACCACCTTGAGTTAATCGTTAGCGATATTAAACAACTTACCTTCCAATGCACCTTTCATAAATAAATGAACTCAACTGAAAATCTGAATCTCTGACCACTTCCTTTATGGAGCTCTCCTCTCTATTATTTCCCCAGCCCAGGCCCCAGTACTGGGCAGCTGGGAGCCACCGTGTAGCCCAGAGCCACTGTGGTCATCTGCACCATCCGGCCGGCTGCAGCCGGGATGAGATCCTGAGATCCTGCTCAGCAGCTCAGTCTGATGCTTCCTTCCCACTTTCCTTCCCAGGAGAGCACAGCAGAGGCCCAGGGCCATGCTTGTCTCTTCCTCATCTGCCCCTCACCAAGGCTGTAGCTTTACTCTGTGGTCCTGTGTGGGGTGGCCTGGGCCCTGCTCTGCAAACTGAGTGATCAAGTTGGCTTCCATACTATCAGCTTCCCTGTGCTGTCACTTAGCCACCTCTGTACGTATGAATCCCAAGGGTACAATGAAGACATCTATCTAGCAGGACTCTGAGTCATCAGTAGAATATGGTGCCAGACCTGCCCTCTGGACTGGGCCACAGGCAGTGGCAGCTTCCTTTCGCTGTCTCCATATGAGCCCCAAGTACCCCTTGAATGGGTTTGGGTGGAGAAGAGTCAAGGCACCAAGCCAGCAGCACAGCTGGGCTCCCCTTGGTCATTCCACTTGCAAGCCACGTGACTGAACCAGTGAAACAAACCGTCTACTCCATTGAGCCATCCATGCTGAGCACTGCCCAGGTCATAGACTTCTAAAGATAACAAATGACGGCGGCTGTTGTTTGCCAGTGAATTTGGGGGTCTGTTGGGCTTCGGTGGATAATGGGCGCAGGGAGGATAATGTGGGATCTCTAAAGATGGGGAAGTTTCAGCAGAGATCTGAGGAACGAGTGGAGGAGGGATCCTCTTGCTGTGAATGGATGATTCGAGACTGATCTCCAATTCCTCCCTCTTGAGACCCCACTAAAATGATGGTAAGGATTTTGGAAGGGAAAGAACTGGTGAGAGAGTGTCAGTTTATCAAGGTATTGATAGTTGAAGTCAGAGTAGGGATGGGGGTCAGGTGCACCCACAGGAAGCAGATGGGGAACCCAGGAAAGCTAAAACGCTGAAGGCTGTGGAACCCTCGGAAAGCAGGAAAATGGGTATTCTGAAAGCAGGACAGCTGGGTGAAATTCCCTACAAGAAGCAATTAGACTTCCAGATGCCACTCCCCCGGCCATGCAGGCAGGTGGCTGCCCCAGCCCATCCCCTGCCTCAGGGAATGCGGGGATTACTTCCTGGAGAGGCTGAATCCAAGAGACCTGGGATTAGGTGTTTGAATCCTGGAAGACATGGGTTACCAGGCAGAGTGGTATTAAGTGAAAGACCACAAACTAAATGGTGACACTCTCAGGACTCTTCCCCACTCAATCCCGAGAGTACTGGCAGGCAGATGCTAAGTCCCCTCTGCCACCTCTGCCTAGAAATTTTAAAAAAGTTTTTAAAAATTTACTTGCTTAAGGGGAGAAAGAAAAACACAGATTCTCAAATGTTGGGGAACTCTATAGGATCATGTCATGGTGAGGACTCCTGAAGACAAACTCCTTCTCCCATCAACGTTTAGAGTCTCTCTCTGTCACTCTCTGTCTCTCTGTCTCTCTCTCTGTCTCTCTGTCTCTCTCTCTCTTTGTTTCTATCTCTCTGTCTTTCTCTGTCTCTCTCAGTAATGGTGGAGCTAGAGATGGAACTTAGACCCTGGTGCATGCTAGGCAACTACTGTACCTCCATCTCCACCTCAACTCCAGAGATCATTTTTTATGATAAGCTCGCAGAACTCATCTGACACTGAAGGGAAGACAGAGCCAGTAACATGCTGAAGCTGCTCCTGACATTTGCTAAATTTTCAGGAATTTTTCAGTGTGGTTGATATCATACAGCTATCTCAAAAGCAGCCAAGGGGAACATATTTATTCTAGGGAAATGGAGAAATATAATAAATCGGGGCTTTTCTTCCTCCCTGAGATCTGCACACCACTGTAAACTCAAAACCAATTTGAATAAAAATCCAAACCAATTCAAGGTCAAAACATGACAAAAAAAAAAAAAAAAAAAAAAAAGAAAGGAAAAAACCTCTAGAGAAACAGAGATAACCCAGGAAACTGAAACTAATATTCTCAGAGCCATAAGAGAAGTTACTGGACCCATGAATAAAAATGAGGATGAGGATGATGACATATTTTTAAAAACCCAAAGATCAAGAAGAGTTGGCTTGGCTCAGTGCGGGTGGGGAGCACCACTGACACTGTGGGCTGGTGAGCACCTCCAGCCGTGTGGCAGCATCTCTGGCCTCTACCCACCAAATGCCAGTATCAGCACCCAACTTGTACCAGGCCCAAATATCTCCGAACATTGCTAAATGTCCCCAAAGGGAATACAATCACCCCTTATTAAGAATGACTGTTAAAATATGTAATAGGAGGAATAAAAAGTTTGGTAGATGGATAAAATTATAAAGTTGAAAAAATAAAAAATAGGAAACATAAGAAATTAGAGAATTAGTCCAAAAGGTCCACTTGTCAGATTAACAGACGTTCCCAGAAGAAAAGACAGAGCATGGAAACTATTAGCAGAGTACCAACAATAGATTTCTCATCAATGAATAATGTAAATTTCCAGATTGAGAGTTCTCAGCAAAATGAGGAGGGGCAAAAACCCTACCATGAAGCAATTTCAGAATGCTAGGGATAAAGAGAAGACCCTGAAATCTGGAGAGAAAAACAAGTTGTATACAAAAGATCCAGATTCAGAAACCATGGGACTTTTCGAGGATGGTCCTAGGCCATGCACAGTGTATG